CAAATAATTTGAATTCCCAATAAGTACAACATAGTGAATAGAACAAACTCAACAATTATTTAATTTGTCCTTGAATTGCACATTTTTCCGAGTTCTTCCAGAATACTCGTGCAATTGCAGTCACGTAGTCCACTTTAGTAAGTGGACTGTGGAACAAATGAAATTTAATTATTTCCTTTTATTACCTAGGTTCTCCTTTTTGTAAGAATTGTGTCCTCTTGGGAGTTCTTTATACAATCGTTTTTGTACCAAGTGTATTAATGAAAGAAAGTGTAAATGAATACAACTCTTTGTGATTTTAGAAACTGTCTGTTTATGTTTCATGTTTGTAATGAAATTTGGTCTTTGTTGAACCCGTGATTTTGAGCTCTTCAACTCAATTGTATCTTTAAGTTTATAAGACCTATTTTCAATTGCCACCACGACCAAGATAGAATAAAAACTATTTTTTTTTCAACTAGGTAACAGTCCTGTATCGACGATACCCATCGTATCATAATAAGGTTTGGTCAATACAAAACAAAGGTAATTTAAGCAAGGTTTGGATAAGATCCAGAATGAAACCTTATAACATGTTAATAAAACCGGTTTAAAAACTTTCCAAATCATTATTTCAACGGGTTCTTTTCTTCGAAAATGGAATCGATATTAGCCCAAAAATAATGTCGTCTTTTAAGAATCTGTGTTTAAAACAGATATCTTATGAACTGAATTAAATAATGAACGGAGATTGGGCAGCAGCGGTTTTTGGTAAACCTGACCGTCTAGGCTGCTTTTAGAATCACGCTGACTGCATACTGACCGTTGGCGCTGACTGCCGAGAAATATAAATTTCTAGGAACCGTGCGCGCTGATAGCTACGCGTCATTTAAAAACGCTACCTAGAAGATCATTCATACTGTCAGCGCTGACGGTCAGCGTGCGGTCAGCGCGACACTAAAACCAGCTTTAAGTGCGATCTCCAAATCCACCTGCTGAAATATAATCCTTCTTATGAGAAAGCTTATAGTCCAGCAGGGTATGGGCGCGGGATATTGATGTGTATGCAAAGAAATTGAACGGATTCTTAACAAAAGCTATTCAAACGAAATATGTGTTTGGCAAATTCAGTTACCTATGATATTATGAAATAATCCTGATAACAAATATAATACATAAATGATAATACACCTAAGTACCTATCGACGTATTATTATAACATATATTTATTATTATAACAAAGGGATTAGGTATTGCAGGGGATGATTACACGATTACAGCAATCTTATCGTCATTCATTATTACGGCGCAACTGTATTTACTATTAATTAGATTCAATGGACATAGTATGTCTAACTGTTTATTTCGTTGTGAAATCCAAGAAAATTATTTATGTCCTTTTTTGAGGGGTGAAATCATCCAACGGCTTCTCCCGCCCGGGCGAGGCGCTCTCGCCTCGTAGTGTCAAACTCTTACCGACTAAAAACCACCCCGTTCCTATTCCTGCACTTCGAGCCGAAGCCACGGCGACCCGTTCAGAGGAAATCTTCCACGGCTCAATTGTTTGTGTCCCTAGGACATACCGAACTTAAATATTTTTTTTCTTGGTTTGCATCTACTGTAGATTTTGGCTTACAGGAGTTGGCAGCGAAGGTGTTTAATATTTTAGCTTTTGCAGCACCGTGGGAAGGGTAAAAGATGGTGACAAAAATGTATTCCACTCTGACGTCAAAATTTTGTTAATAAGTCGATTCTTGATGCCCAACTATGTCCTGGTATTTATCATAGTTGATGGAGGAAAATTTCATACTTAAATGATAATTAATGACCTTATCTTATACCAACGAAAATGTACTCTTTTTTATTAAAAACAAATTGTAATGAACTATATACCTAACAGTTATTAACCTAAACAATCAGATTAGTTAGTCATGTGATCATACGATTGATGATCACATGACTAACTATCATGACCTTTTATGTAACTACGTCGTCATCACTATAATATAGCAGTCCATTGCATCAGCAAGATGAAGAGGCTTACCTGATGGTAAGCCTTCCCTTAAGATTTAGAGATCTCTTGGTTCTGCATGCATCCAGAAGCGGCTTCCTGATGACATGATAATTATGTCAAATTTACGTCAAGCAGATTTATTTATATTCTCTCGGTCGACTATCATTTAACCTCTTGTATATAAGACACAATAGAAAATATATTGTGTCTCGTGTATATTATTTTGCGTTCGGCGCATACCACGGGTTAATGCCATTTCGTTCATAGTATAGAAACTTAACTTCCAAAGCGATGTCTTGCGTCTATTATAACTAAGCGAATAGTCTCTTACTAAAAGAACTCGGAGTCTAACTGTGTAGTAGGTTATACGGGAACGAAATGTTCTGTGACGAAATACAAGTAAAACGAGTGAAGGCTATTGACACACTGTTTTATAATGTCATATATTTTTTACAAATTCGCGGGTTCAACCACGCACCGTAGACTATACTATGACCATAGACTATAACACAGATACACAACATAAGAGAATTCGAAAAATATCTAGAATGTAAATAAAAAGTTAGCATTAAAAGAAAGTATAATTCATCTCTGTAAATAATTGTGTGGCCAGTTTGAAAGTTGTTGTATCCCGCAAGTAATATTTCACATCAACCAAGGAACAGGTGGGCTTAATATCGGTTAATTGCCCTTTGTTTCAACAAAATAATGATTTTAAGCCGAAGTTTGGAACAACCGTAATAACCGTGCCTTATGACTCGTCCGCAAGTGTATGGTAATGTCACAAATATTATAATAGGTGTTTAAGATTATAGGAATTTGCTAACTATTTTTTCGTTAACAACTTGACATCGTCCATCGCCACATTGACCAGGGAGAGTCTTCTTAGATTAGTATGCTAAGTCTAGTATTCATAATTCATACGTTAAAGCTGCACAAAGGAAAGTTTCCTGATAGAAAATAAAGAAAAAAAATTACGGTGCATCACAAAATGTTTACCAGATTCTATAATAAATCTTTTCTACATGAAAAGTATTGCATACTTTAATCTGTGAGCTTATTATGATGGGTGCGGATCTAAAAAATCACCCCCTGCAGAGTGCCATACTGTGTTATTGAGTACACATAATAAAGCCAAGGATACACTAAGGGACAAATGTAACACTACATGTAGGTATCGGCGACATGTCAAACGATGCCGGCTGATTTCACCTAACATGTATGGCGACAAAGCGCGATTGATGTCCACTGGGACGCGACGTTGATGTTGCCAGGCATTTTGACCAAAGTCCGGCAACGTCGCACTACTTCACCCAACGTCGCTGGCGACACGTGTTGCAGGACATTTGTCCCATAGTGTATCCTTAGCTTTACCCTATTCACATTTTCTTAATCCGCAACTGTTACACAAGCATAATGTGAAATAATAAATTCATACCTACATAGGTACTCCTTAATAAGAATTACGATAGGTAGGTACTACTGTCTTATGTATTATTATTTTCTTTTAATCATACCCTATCTTATCCGTTATCACATGAATTACCACTTACACGCAAGCTATATACAGGATTTAGCTGGTTATATCTGTACTACTATCTATATTCGTAGAAATATAAAGTGAGATTTATTGCTATCACTTTATGGTGCAATTTCCTTTAGTATATTGATAATATTTATTGTATTTTAAGAAGTAGATAATGTGTATTCCTTTAACCAATGTGTTGGAAACTTGGAAGTGTTTTCTTGGTCTTTGGGCTTCACTTACATTGCGAACACAACGTAAACGCTAAGTAATTTTTTGTGAGCAGTATCACTTCGGTCAAGCTGGCCCATTCATGGCAACATTTAACCAAATAAATATTAAAAGAACATTCTCACACTACACCTCTCCATTTTGATGCGTTGATCGCTTAACTTCAGGTGATCCATCTGCTCGTTTGTCGTCCTATTATTCCATAAAAAGCTTTATATAGTAACAAAAGTCATATTTTATTTCAATTATGTAAGGACTTTATATCTCATTTACACTTTTATCATAATAACACGGATACTGATAAATATAAAGTTCTCAACTGATTATAGTGTTAGGTAGTAACGAAAAGAAAATTTGCTTTCTTTAGAATTTATTTGCAGAGACTAGAAACTACCGGTATCTTATTCATAAAGCATTAATTAAACATTTTCTAAACACATAATTAAGAATTTATATGTTGCAAAGTGGAATGATTTTACTACATATCTGCTTGTGCTACGTGATATATGTATCTAAAATCTAATTAGTCCGTCAGTTAGATAATGAAAATATATTAGACACATGTTTTATTCTTTTCTCGTATTAAGTTGCAATACTTAGATAAAATGGCGCTAAGTTTAGGAGTGGGAGGTCGTTACGTCATAACGTGCTACAAAATATGGCACGATGTGACATCACACGATATTTAAAATTAATATATCGTCGATAGTATTAAATTTTATGAGAAAAGAAAAAATACGTGTCTTAAGTTTTAAAATAATGTACCAGACGGACATTAAAATAAAATTTAGGAAACTACCGTATTGTTTAATCCTTATGTCATGTTTAACCCTTAGAGCGCGACGTCAGTCACCGGTGCCTGACGCTACGGGAGGTTTGACTTTCACCATTTTAAACTTGGCAGTTAAAGTATTAAGTATAGTTCTGTCACTTCAAATTCTCTGTAAAATGAGAGAGATAGCACTATATTTAAGTACAACTTAAAATTAATATGCCTTTCAGTATTCGGGTGTATGAGTTCTAATTCTCCTCTAAACTAGATCATAAAATACATGAAACACATAAAATCTGACAGTAAATAGATTAGTATAGATATGGACAACGCAAAATTCTGTATAATGGATAAGCCAGAAAAATCATAGTTTTTTTTTTTATAAACCTAGTATTTTTTTTTAATACTAAAGTTTTTTTTACGTCTCTCATCGAGAAAAGTTCTTAAGACTTGCTGTCTTAACGGCTGCTATTTTTCAATTAATCAGTACGAGTAACTTCCGGTGGACTGTAGACAGTTCGTAATATCGTGAAATAGGACCATGATGTACTTATAATCTGCAAAAAGAAATATAATTTTAAAAAGTAAATAGATGTACAGGCCATTAAAAAATAGTTAATAGTAGTCCCTCATTTAATGGGCTACGACAAATTCTATTGCACTTCAAAAAATAAATATTGAAATGACATAACATAACATCACACCTTTTATCCCCGAAGGGTTAGACAGAAGTGCATATTACGGTATTTAAACTGTCAAACACCAAGCGGTCACCGGTGACCGCAACCTATTGTTCTTTAATTGTGTATATAACTACGGTACTCGACGAGTTAATGCCACTGTACAATTAACACCCCACTTTTTACTATTTATGTTATGAGTCCCATGTAATAGGTTGTTAGCCCATTGCCATATATCGGGTACATTTCCAGAATCCGAGCATTTTTAAAAAACCCAGTAACACTTTGCCCGACCCGGGAATCGAACCCGAGAGAGAGAACCTCTTGCCTAGCAGTCGCACTCGGCCAACGAGTCAGTCATAGGCCAACTTCATATTGAAATGAAGTTGCATAAAACCTCGTTTTATTAGAACTGCAAACAAAATATCCTTCTTTTCTTTAATAAAAGAACGTTGCTCCACACTAGGATTTTCTCCTGTGTAGTGGGTGCGTTTACAAACATACAAATTTACATACACATCACACCCAGACATGGAACAACGATTTGTGGATCACAGTTGGAGTTGTTGTGTAAGAATTGAACCCGGTTACGCAGCAGCGGTTAAAATATAAAGTAATTGTTAGTTAGTTCTCGTTAGATCTTGACTGCACGGTTGGTGCGGTGGCTGGGCAACCGGCTGCCGTGCAACGTGTCGCGGGTTCGATTCCCGCACGGGACAACAGTTTGTGTGATCCACAAATTATTGTTTCGGGTCTGGGTGTCATTGTGTATGTGAACTTGTATGTTTGTAAACGCACCCACGACACAGGAGAAAATCCTAGTGTGGGGCAACGTTTATTAAAAAAAAAGAAAAAAAGAAAAGATCTGACACTTCATTATGTTTCTTTGTGTATTTTATGTATTGCACATATATGAAATAGCTCCTGCCAAAACTTTCATGTTGCCATTTTGCAACAAAGCAAAAAATTTCAATGCTAAAATAATTTTGCGTAATAAAATATAATGCGTAGTTACAAAAAACTTTTTCACAAGAAATAACTTGGTAAACTTGGTTCTTTACTAAATAACTTTAAACAACAAAAAATGCTTTACCTTTGTGAAGCTCGCGTAACTTATGGTAGAAAATTTATAAGCGGTTAACTGTTGAGGTTTTTTAGACCTGAAAAACGTAAAATAGAATTACACCAAAATCTACTTTTTGGATTGGATACGTATAAAATTTGAACCCTATGATCATATCAAATAATATCATTTATATAAGATTAACAGTATAACTTAATGGCGTAAGCTGTGGTGTTGTATATGTACATTTTCTAAAAATTAATAAATAAATCAACATCATCGTCGTTAAGTTAACCAGACGACGTCTACCTGACTGCTGAAGACATTTCTAAATGACGACAAATCATGACTGTAGAGGTATAAAAGTAATTAAAAAAAGAGTATGTTGCTCGAAGGGGGCAAAAGGGAGATATAATATTTAATTTGTTATTAAAAAAAAGTCGATGAAATTGACGTTTTTAAAATGTGTCATCAAACATAACTTACCTGATCATTATGGTCAAAATTATCTTCTTAGATTTCTCATCCATTTTATACCATTTGCATAAAAACGCTGCGTCACCGATCTTTGTACTCTGAAGGAAAAATATTAGATGATTGAACAACATATCTAAACATTTTTTTAAATTGCTAACAATTCAAGCAGTTATTAGTAAAATTTACTTCTCTTATCATGTTTTCTCCAAATACACTCATCATGAGGATTTGCAGTAGAACAGATAGAAGGAACAGAATGCAGCCTGGAATTTGTTGCCAGCTCCCAGTCTGTGAAAAATGAACATTAACTACAAATCCAATATTATGTTTTCTGACCTAATTAAGAGAAATACCTCTTTAATCCGTCAGTTAGATTAGATCAGGCAATTGTAGATCATGACCATATCAGTTACACGACCATATTTAACAGTAGTGATTGTCTCTCGGGCTCTGGGTTAAAAACGCCTGCTTCTCATACATAAGGTTTCGAAACCTACCAACAGCAAGTACCGATGTGACATTTTCCGAGATATATGTGCTTTCTAAGATTATTTAGATACCACTGATGAACGGTGAAGGAAAACATCGTGAGGAAACCTAAGCTTATAATTTGTAATCATAAGTTTGAAATTGTCAACCCGTATTGAGCAAGCGGGGCGATTAATTCTCAAACCTTCTCTGTGTGAAAAGAGGCTTTTGGTCAGCAGTGGCCACTTATAGGCATGGGCTGTTGATGATATTTAACAGTACCTATACAAGTAATTGTGTACCTACACTATTATATAGAGGTAGTGTAACAGATATGATACTTTTTAAAACTCAAGGTAACACAAGTAAAATTCATTAAATCAGCATATCCAAAATGTGTACACAGCATGACAATAATTAAAAGCAATCAGGAAACATGAGTGCACCTCGCGAAAAACACGATATACGTCATACTTTTACCGATCACAAACTGGTTTACACGCTTCCATTAAAGTGCCATCATTGTAATTAACTTTACCGTTAAATTAAATCCGAGAGCGCATATCTCCAAAGAGCCGACCAACACATTAAACAGATTGGGCGCAGTAAAAATATCTTCCAAGTCCTCCCCGAGCCTGAAAATGTTTGGAGTGACAATTTAATTTGCTTTTATTTTAGTTTAATTACATAATTATGTAACTGTGTTATAGCTATCTTTATTAAGTTCATTTTGTTATTCACTTTTGAACAAATTGAAACATAATCAGGATTTTTAAGTTTTAATTTCATAAGATTCTTTTCATAAGATTCTTTCTACGAAACTGTACCCACAGTCTCTTTTCAATCCCTTGCAATCAATTTCCATTGCAACCCATAAAAGGTACAATTCAACATCGTAATCAGCCACCGAGTTCAATATCATTATAGCAGCGGGGTAGATTCTTTTTAAATTGCTATATGCTTGATTGAGGCCTTCTAGCTGTTCATATGTACTGTATGTTGTTTAGATATAAAAGATTTGTTACTCAATTACGCTTCATTCTGTGTAAATAGAATAATTATTTCATGAAAACACCGTCCAGCAAATAATTATCAAATATATCTAAACATAAATGTTGTATTTCGAAATGACGAAGGCTACCCATCAAAACTTCGGTATCTCAGCGAATCAACCGACAAAACAGAATTAACGGTAAATTCCAAGTTAGGAAGGTAACTGAATTCAATCCGAATATTGTGGAGTTATTCTGTGTTCATGTAATTTATCTTGCGTTGCTATTTGACAGGCCAATTTATGTTTTTTCGTGTTATATGCGATACAATCACATCAGCAAAGAAGAATGTAATGAGTATGTTATTAATTCTACCTCATGTATTAAGGTAATTTAGAAAGATGATATTATATTTTATTTATAAGGATAGTGCCTTAACATGATGATCATAATATTATCTGTTTGCCTCACTTCCAAATACACAAACGCTACTCAAATTTAAGTCGCGCTTAAGTATAGGTCTATCATTACAATTTTTATAAAATTACGGAGATGGTACGATATTTAAGTACAACTTAAATTGGGCAGCCTTCAATATTCAGGTATTAATTAGTAATAGTCAGGATGATTGATTGGAAATAAAATACGTTTTTATGAAAACAAAAAATAATGGCTGTGATCGTTGAATTATTAATACACAATATTGAATTTATCTGGAATTTTAATATTTTCAGCTGGGATCGTAACATAGTTACATGTATTTAAGTTATTAAATAAAATAGATAAGCATAGAAATAAGATACTTTTTCTGGATAATGTTATTATAAAGTATAGTTGTTTCAATTCTGTATTCCTTCTAGTGCAACCTTGGAAAAATATAGTTTGCACTTACTTCAAAATATACTGATGTTCCTTGATTATATCTGCCAAGCGATCTGCAGTAGTTTCATCTAAACTTTCAATCATATCACTAATCACGCTAAAATTTGCACAGACGTGGGAAGTCAGAACAAAGTAAAGTCCATCGATCGTTGTGTAAAACAATACACAGATGAAACCTGGAAATAAGAACTAATTAATTAGAATTAGTAGGTAGATAGTTACCTATCTATCTACTAATTCGGTGTACCTAGAATTTCGGTGATAATTGTAAAATAATCACAGAAAATTTTATTACCACGTCTATGTTTGAAAGATGTAAGAAAAAATATAAGTTACAGTAAAAAATGAGGTAATACAAGAGCTCTTGATATTATATTGTTTTCATTACAGTTAGCAACAGTGAATTTATCCGTCGAGAATGAATGAAAAGACTGAAGACTGTTGACCGTTGAAGCAAAAGAGGTATGTAAGAATCGTAGCAATTGCCGTTCCATGGGAAAGAAAACAATAAACTTGGGAAAAGCTTGACGCATAACCGATAAAATCACTACAAGATAACAAACTCATTTACTCACCACACATGATGGAATGAATATAGACTATAATCCAAGGCAACCAGGAATCAGTAGAAAATGGCACTAAAATTGCGTAAGGTAGAATGTAAATCACCTCATGTTTCGCAAAATAATGATACAAAATTATGAACGGAGTTGAGAAATTGTAGACAGAGATCAATAGGAGATTCAAAATGAAATAATATTTCATGAGTAAGTTAACAAGGACCAAATCTTTTCTCACAAGTTTCACTTTCTGCTCATTACTAAGAATATTATTGTAGAGCTTCTCAAGACACTCGGTCAGATCATAAATTTTCTTTCGTTTTTGAATTACAGCCATGGTTTTCAATGCAGTTAGTATACCGATTCCCATACACGGAGCCAATTGGGTCAACTCTAGAAAATTCTCAGCTGAAATTCTCGAGACAAAGAACGATACTTCGAAGACGATCATCAATAAAAGTTGAACGAATATGACGTAGAATCTAAAGTAAAACTTCGGATCGCCATAAGGGATCCCTGCAAGCCATAAATTGATTTTTATCTGTTTATGGAAATCTTTGTATGGGGGAATATTTTCCATATCTGTTAAGTTTGACTGCTTAGAAGACTTTTATCGTCTAAGATGGGGTACTAAAGAATGAGGTTGCTTTATTTCAATTCATTGGACAATGTCAAGTTTATTTGGTTGACGTGTCAATGTTTAGGGTTGTCAAAGGAAAATTTTCACATTAAAGCAAAATAAAATATAAGTAAATTTTTCTATGACTTATTTTATTAAGTATCGGAAAATAATAACCAATCCAACATAATTAAGGTAATTGTGAGGTCGACAGAAAATGATAAAAAATCACAACAGAAAGCAAGTTTGTTTATAATTCGGTGTCAAATAATGTTTGTTTATAATTTAAATCGAATTATAATATCATAATTTGAAATCTTTGATGACACAACCCTAGAAACTGAACATATTATATTATTCCATTTGGTGTCTCTATGAAGTGATGAACTGGCAGTTAGAATAAAATCAACACCTATTTTCGATAATTACACTCATTGTAAATTCTGTTTGAGTACCGTTAGTTCTCCTTGTGTCAATCACTTCAAAGAAAAGTGTGACAGCAAAATTTTGACCACTTAATACATAGTTTTGTATTCTTATTATTTTGATTTAGAATTTTAGTTTAGTTGTTATTTATTTTATAATTGTTCTGAATTAATTATTATGATTTCGGCATACTTACGTAACTGTTTGCATAATTGCATGTCACGGGCCGCGGAATGCTGCTCATGAGTATGAGCCTTTAGCATGGCTCGTAATCGAGTTCCTCGTCAAATACTTACATGAGTAAGCCGAAAACATATTATTTTTTTATGTCTCACGAAAGTTTTAATATAAACATAGTTGTTCTGATTAATTGTTTTTGCTGGTTATTATTATTGATCTAAACCAAAATACCGTTTTAGCAATCGCTATGTATTTATAGAGGTTGGTACTGTACTGTATCAGATTCCTCACATTGGTGTTCATCCTCTTTATTTATTTATTTCGAGTATATACTTTAGAATTATAATAATTTATCTCGCAAAACTCAGTTGTGCAATATGTATTTTTATCATAGCATAGGCAAATTCATTGACATAAGACGTAAGAACATAGAAGAGTTTGTAAAAATACAAAATGTTTGGAACACAAGGGAAAGAAATGATTGATCGACGTGTTTTGTTTCAGTGGACAGAAGTTTCACAAATTGTGTTTGGGTATAGAGCTTTAGGGACAAACATCAATCAGGTATTAAAAATATTACATAAATGTGGCTTAACATGTTGTTTTTATTGTATAAAATATCATTTATTAGAGAAGTTAATTAAGTGCAGCAAAAATTGTACAAAGGTTGTCTTAATGCCACTGCCATTACAGTTGACTTTTAACTTGTGAACAATTCATATTATATCGAAATTATTGATAATGAAAAACAAATGCAGTTTCCATTTCTCAAACGATTCGTAGTACAAATAGCTAAGCAGAAAAACATATTGAAGTATATTTCATATTTTTCTTAAAAAAAACTATATATGAATAACTAATCCTTAAAAAATAAACTAATATTTAACTAAAGTTAACAAGAATTATTTTCGGAATAAGATAAACATTTTTTTCATTCATTTATTAAACCCACTCATATCATATCGTGAACATGGCAGTCCAATCACGATTTCTTTCATACTGACAAGCGCAAATTACCTCATATATTTTTCCCACAGTAAATATTTTCCTGAAATATGTGTTTTATTTTTTGGATCTCTATTATTCTGGTAACAGTACAATGCTTTTATAATAAAAGTCTCGCATTTGTTATACATATTACATTGTAATCAAAATAGTTATTAAAAGTCATCATCTGATATAATCTTGGCATTTAAAAGTGTAATAAAAAGTAGGTATTAATTGTTAAGAATTTTTCATATGACATAAATAACCAACCAGGAATGTGTTGAACTTGTATAGATGAAGATGCGATAATACTATAAAATAGTTGTAAACATTTTTTTCTGTTAATGATATTCTAGTCAATTCTAGATCACATCAACGTTAGATCAAGTATCGAGTAAGTATAAGTACTTGCTACGTATTTTCGTAAGAATGCAAAAGACTGCATTGCAGAAAAGATTGCTTGCCTGCTTGGCTCAGGTGGCAGAACCTTCAAGTCTGAATAATGGCAACTATAAAGAACGTAGTTTGAACCAACCTATCGGTTTCTCATTGCCCTTTTTAGATTCTTTCGGTTTATATGTAGATTGAGATTTTGTAATCCAAAGTTTTTAGACGATAAATAGGAATGTGCATTGAAAATAACTGCAATTAACCGGTTTGCTCATTTTTACAAGGAGAGGAAAACTAAAAAGTTTTCTTACAAAATAAACACATATGTATATGACATGATGTAGGGTTTTAGCAATACTCTCCTTTTCAATTAAATTAGCATCAACAATCGTGAGTAGATTTTGCTATTTCATAAAGGGGTAATAAATAAACTACACAATATTATTCATGTGGTTTTATACAACAAAACTTACAAAAAATATTAGCGAACAAAACAAAATACAATATATCATTTGAAAACTGTTGGACAATGAACTAATAAGTCAAAAGAATTATTTTAGGAAAAAAAAACTATTTACAAACACATTATTACGATTTACGTGGAAATCTGTTAGCGTAAGGCGCAAGTCTTCAAGGTGTAAGATTAGTTCTTACTAAACCAAACGATTGCGACAGTTAACATTCTCTGGCCAGTCACAAATACCAAAGAAAGTGTTGAAATACAAACCACTTGGACATGACCCTTGTATCAACTCACCACCAAGACACTGGTAGAACTGATTACAGTACTGGTGACCAAACAGACGACCTTCATTAGCATCTGAACATACCTTTCCATTCTTCTTTTCTTCACCAGGAATTACTCTGTCACCACATTTCACGTTCTTTTGCCAGTCACAGATTCCATCATCGACGTTGAAAAAGAGGGTTGGTTGGCAGGACATAACGACTGGCTCACCAAGGCTGCACACGTAGAACTGGTTACAATTTTTGTGAGAAAATGGGTACACGAAATGATTTTGCGTTGCACAAATGGTAGCTGCTTCCTCATCTGTAGTATAGTTAGCTCTTGTAGCAGCCATATATTTTTTGCTAATAAAAAGTCCTTCGGTAGTACAGTTCACGTTGTGGGGCATGTCACATATCATAGCAGTGGGATTAAACAGGAGACCTGGTGCGCATTGATGGTGAATTGGCTTACCATCAGCACATCTGTAGAATTCGTTGCAGTTTTCATGAGCTACCAAGACGCCTTCAGAATCAGGAGATGAGCAAATCTCATCCACATTGCTATTCTTGGTCAGTTTTTCGTGAGATTTTTTGTCCACGTTGTTATGGCAGTTGGCGTTTACTGGCCAGTCACACATTTTCAGGGTTGGGTTAAAATGGAGCCCAGATGGACAGTCTCTGAGAAACAATATTCCTGTGGTGCAATCGTAGAATTGGTTGCAGTTTTCATGTGGTAGAAATGTAGCATCTTTTGGACATCCATTATGGTTGTATGCTCCCAAGTCTGCGTAAGCAACAGCTGAGATGCAAAGTACGAACGCTATGATGTCTGAAATAAATAAACCATTTATTATTGATAATATTAATTTCCTCGTTCTTAGCTTTTTTGTTATAAAAATTAGAAGTAGGTCGGACTTATGAATAATATGCTTAGGCGTCGGGTCTATAAAAAGAAATATAAAATTTTCTAGGATTTTGGCAGACTTCGATAGATATAGATATAATCCTTACTAATATTATAAATCTGAAAGTGAGTTTGTTTGTTTGTTCCACCTTCACGCCGTAACTACTCAACCGATTGCTTTAAATTTTTGCAGACGTAAAGTTAGAAGTCCGTATTAAATAATAGGGTACTTTTTAACCCGGAAAAAAATATATTCCCGAGGAAAAACAAAAGTATTGGTATAGATGGCGCTGTGTGTATTATATATGTCACATAGGCTACTTTTTATTCTTTTGTGACGCGAGCGAAGCCGCGGGTAAAGGCTAGTTACAAATAAAGGAGAATTCAAAATATGGTAGGTACTGAAATGGTCTTACCTTTCATATTGAACAGTGTTAACTTCTTCAAACAAAAGACACTTGAATCAATGCGTTTGTTCTAAGACTACACCTAATTTTATACTTCACTGAGATACCTAATATTTGAACTTAGGTAATGATGATTATCAATCAATGTGATAAGAATACAAATTATAATAAGATTACCCCATTATAGGTAACCTCCCGTTGATATACGGATATAGAACTAAGTTTTACCTACCTATATTAGTTAATTGTTCGTCGTTGATTTGGGATAGAATTGAGTAGGCTTAGAAAGGAGCAATAAAATTGTTTAAAAACATGGTCAAGTATAAAACTATTCGTGTTATAGATTTGAAGTGCAGAGAACGATTTTTATTCAAAACGTTCAAATAAAGACATGCAGTTTATAACAAATCATTATACCTACCTATAGCATATGTATGGCTCGGAGAACCTAACGCGTTACCGGGGCTCCGGCTCGAAGCGCAGGAGAACGAACGGGTCGGTTTTTAATCAGTAAGAGTCTGACACTCCCTCCCGCCTCACCCAGGCGGGATTCAGCCACTCGATGATTTCTCCATCTTTAAAAAATAAAAATAGCATAATTATGTATATTGTACAAGCATTTGTCTGTGCCAGTTTTTAAAAAAGCTCCAAAAGGACACATGTTACATTTTATAATTCTGGGTAGAAATTGTGTGAATTAAAATGATTCCAAATTGTTCTTTTTCAATTACTCAAATTATGTAATGTACGCCCAATTATTCAAGTCAAAGTTATAGATTTTTAATATACATCGGGACATGCAATCAGTAACTTCATTATATTTGGTAGGTCCTTGTGCCTATTCAATTACTGTTACTTTAGCTAAATAAATGTTATCATTAAGCCTTGAAGTTCATGATACCTAACCACTTAACAATTTGCTGTGCCTACAAATTCAAGAAACATTCAAATATTCCACTGGTTTTGAACCGCGACATCGTTGACTTTCTCTTTTTGAGAGTTTCAGTAAACTAACTCTTGATACTGCCATAATCTGTATCTAATATAGTACTTTTTGTCCTACCAACTTCCCAAGAGTTGAAATTATAGTAATCTCTGTTATGCAGAAGAAACTAATAGATGGGTACTTAGGTCATAGGATGCATTAAGTGTTAGTCCCTCAGCCACTCATAAGTGATTTTTTTTTAAGGGGGAAAAATCATCGAATGACTGCTCCCGCCTGGGTGAGGCGGAAGGGAGTGTCAGACTCTTACTGACTAAAAACCACCCCGTTCCTTCTCCTGCACGTCGAGCCGGAGCCCCGGTTACCCGTTAGGTTCTCCGCGACACTCATAAGTGATAAGGTTCGTTCCAACTATGTACGAGTTCTATTTCTCATATAGTTAATTGTTCATCTTTTTCTAGCATATGCATACCTACAGAAGAATTGGGTAGTTTCCAGGTAATTAAAATAAAAACCTATTATGCTCTGAAATCGAACACTTTACTTAATACAGACAGATTTACATATATATAGTTAGTACCCCTCTATTCATACCTTCTTTTTATCACAGTTGTTTTATCTATGGGAATTTATCTAAATCTAATTTATATCCGTGTTTTTTATAGGTATCTTGCTGATATAATCATTAGTTATTTGAAATAGTAATTAACTTGGATGTATATAAATTAGACAGATATGTTCTAAAACCTTTTTTTGTGATATGCTAGACTAGATCGGAATTACAAGAGTGAGGTGAATTTATTTACCTAAAACTATTTTTTAATCGACTTCCCAAAAAGGAGGAGGTTATTAATTCGGCTGTATGTTGTCTTTTGTTTTTTTTTTATTTTTTTTTGTGTATATTTTACCTGATTACTCCGGCGTTTGTAGACGGATTTTGATTTTTTTTGTCGAATACTCTCGGTGTGGTCCCATTTCCACCAGGTCAGGATCTGATAATGGGATGGAAACCGTGGGAAACTGTTCAAAATTGTATGAGTGGCAAGTGCGTTTGTTAATTTTTTGATATAGTATTTGAAGCTACTAAAATTTGATGATGATATGTAGTTGATTTGATGATGGAGCCAAGAGACAGCCGAGGGAACTCCTCAAGAATTTGTAGCAATGACCCCGTGTTTGGGCTTAAATTATTTGTATTGAGAAGATCTTTACATATAAATGGGATGTAATTGTCATTAGGGGACTGATGATGAAGTAGTATGATAGCTAAGGGAACTCTTCAACGCTTAACAGTAGCTACCTGGTGTTTGGGCTTGATTAATTTTAAGTTATAGGAACTTTACGCCTAAATAAGGTATGATTATCATTAGGGGCCTGATGATGAAGGATTATGATAGCTAAGGGAACTCTTCAACGGCTGACTGTAGCTACCTGGTGTTTGGGCTTGTTTAATTTCAAGTGATGTGAACTTTACACCTAAATGAGGTATGATTATCATTAGGGGCCTGATGATGAAGGATTATGATAGCTAAGGGAACTCCTCAACGGCTGACAGTAGCTACCTGGTGTTTGGGTTTTATTAATTTGTTTTAATGAGAACTTTACACCTTAATGAGGTATGATTATTATTAAGGGCTTGATGATGAAGGGGTATAATAGCTAAGGAAACTCCTCAACGGCTGACAGTAGCTACCTGGTGTTTAGGCTTTATTAATTTGTTTTGATGAGAACTTTACACCCATGTGGGATATAAGTAGTATGCTGGATCTATATAGCCTTGACTAAACTAAAAAGCATAAAATAAAAACAAAAACTGCGTTTAAAAAAACCGACTTCGAAAACCAAAATCTAAAAACAAGCAAAAGGTCAAAAGGACTTCTCGCACCCATCAGTGGGTGGGTAACCTATAAGTACGTATGCCTAATAATATTTATTTTTTGCTTTTTAGTTTTGATCTTTTGCTTGTTTTTAGTTTTTGGATTTCGAAGCCTGTTTTTTAAAAGCAGTTTTTGTTTTTTTATGTAAACCTTTTTGTGGCCAATACAAGGATTGTGGCCAATACATAGATATTCAGTTGGTCCCACAATCTCCTTTTGACCTTTGCATAGAGAGGAGTGGAAGTAGGGTAGGGAGGCCTTTGTCTTGCATTGGGGTGATCATGGCTGAAAATAAAATAAATAAATTAAAAACTTTTTTGCTGCACTCACTTCGAGAAATATTATTTCTTCTGAGAAACTATATACGCAAATACTTAAATATTCCAACTAATGTTTAATTTAGAAGAGATGTCGCAGTTATTTTCTTATAAACCTAATCTACAATAAGTTCTACGTCGGTAATAATTATCAGAGCCTTACTTGAAGATTATCATAGCAATGAATCGAATAACACAATTGTTCATTAACCTAATTCAGGCGCTGCACACAGCCGCTTTTTCCAAAACTTCTAATAAATGTTTTACAATACTGTCAAGTGCCGTAACTTGACATTTATTATACCTCTAGTGTTGTGAAAGGTAAGGTAATCAGTTTACCGTTGAAGAAGTTAAAGAGGTATGTAAGGGTCTTGGCATAGTCTCTATCTACCCGCACGTTGCATATCCTTATTTTTTTACCTAAAAAAACTTCTTCTCTAAACCTGTGTTGAGGGTGGTATGAACTCATATATAATACAAAATAACATCCAGACTTCAAACAATAATTTGTGGATCAAACAAAGAATTGTTCCGCACGATAATCAAACCCGTCACATGTTACGCAGCAGCCACTATTTTTTACCTTTCTACCAAATAAAATAAGGTAAAAATTTTCTAGGCTCCAGTTCCAAGTCTTTATAGATATAGCCATTAGACCACCACAGATGGGGCCCAGTATGGCTGATACCCGATACGGAGTCGCGGAAGGTCTAATAGGTTGCCGGGGCTCTGGCTGGAAGAGTAGAAATAGGAACGGGGTTGTTTTTAGTCAGTAAGAGTCTGACACTCCCTCTCGGCTAACCCAAGGCGTGAAAAGTCAAAGGATGATTATCGCCTTCGAAAAAAAGTTTCTATACGTATAATCAATTATAACGAGGTAAGACGATTTTACCATTCTGTACGTACTAATAGGTTTTCAGATCCTGACACCTAAGGCCCTAATCTATCTTATCTAGTAAATTGATTTACAATAGACCAATTAACCAGTCATAACAATGATTAATCACTGTTAATCTTTACATTAAATGCTATACAATGTATTTTTTTTTATTGGATAAGCCAGTAAACGTGCAGACGGATCACCTGATGATAGGAAATCGTCGCCGCCCGCCCATGGACACCTGAAACACCGAGGCGTTTCAGGTGCGTTACCGACCTTTTAGGAATTGGGAATTTGAGGATTGTGAGGATTCGCGAATTGGGGAGACTGGGGGGGGGGGGGGGCGTTATTGGGCCTCCAGTAACCTCACTCACATGACGAAACAAACGTTGTTTCACGTCGGTTTTCTGTGAGTCCGTGGTATCACTCCGGTCGAACCGGCCTATGCGTGCCGAAGCATGGCTCTCCCACACTTTTATATACAATTGTACGTAACAAAAATGTGACTGCTAAGACCGATTGAAATGATTCTCGCATATTATAATCTGTCTAGAATTTTAAAGACACCTCTTAGTTTGTTTTGGATTTCCTTGTCAGAGTAGTCAGTTAGGAAATGCCGTCATGTAGTAATTTAAAGATTGACAGGTGAAAGTGTTACCTTGTAACCTATTTACAGAAATAAACATCATTTCCTTAGCATTTCATTTCTTTTAATCATATCATTTCAACGTGGTTCGTACACTCGTCCATAGATGTCGTTGTTAGTATTATTATGTACAGGGAAAAGAGTAATGTTGATTACATTTTTTGTTATAACGTAGTTCATTTGTATGAATGTGCAGTTTATTAAAATAATATTTAGACGTAATTAAACACGAATAGTTTATACATTGAATTTTTCCAAGATCCTGTAAAGCAGTCAATTGTTGAGGCGGTTAATTTTTTTAAAACCTTTGACATTTAATTAACATAGCATTAATGTCATGCGTTGTTACGTAACTTAATAAAACATTGTCATCAATATTTTTATTGGATTGTTTGAGGGTAAGGGCATATTTCTCTTAGTTAAATTAAACAAAATCATATTTAGAATTTCAATCAGCAAAATTCTTAACTTTGGGTTGAGATTAATGACGTCATTAATTTTTGTTAAATATTTTGGAGAATCACCCAAGCACTAATCTGACACAGTACTCTCTGATACGTTACAATTAACTAAATAATTTTAGTCCCTAAAATATGTTTTATGGAGCAGTATGCTGCTCCATCAATTCCGGTATAAGTCGTGATACGTGCACGTAACCAGAGGCGGACTAAACCTATAGAAGCGCCCTATGCAAGCACTTCATAGGCGCCTCTAATGTTTTTAGCGCTTCCATATTTCAACTGCCTCGTTGGTCGAATGGTCGCAAGTGCGACTGCCAGGCAAGGGGTCTCGGGTTCCATTTCCGGGTCGGGCAAAGTATTACTAGGTTTTTTCAAAAGATCTCAGTAGTTGCACGGATTCTGGAATTGTGCCCGATAAATGACAATAGGCTCACCCCCTATTAAATGGGACTCAACACATAAATAGTGAAAAGTGAGTGTTAGTGTATTACATTGTACAGTGGTATTAAGTGCCGTCATGTACACGTCTGCCTACTCCTTCCGGGATAAAAGGCGTGATGTTATGTTGCGTCATTTGATGGGTGCATGTGTCCTTGACAAAAAAAAGGCGGCCTACAAAAGTAAAATACTTGCGTCTCGCTTAAAAACAATGAAAATTGTCAATGAAGCAGCAACGTTAAGTCCGCCTATCGTTTTTGACGAAGGCGTGCATTCGTGAAATCACGCAACATGAATATAGTATAGTGAATAAGGCCTTAGGTACTATCCAATTATCTATGATTTTAACTGACTTCACAGAATGAGGTTCTCAGTTCGATCTGTATCTATATATATAATAATACTAGCTTCTGCCCGCGACTTCGTACGCGTAATCCCATTTTTTCCCGTCCCCGTTCGTGATTTTCGGTAAAAAGTAAAAAAAAAAAATTTAAGGTTAAAAACTATCCGGTCTCCTGGCTCTAAGCTACCTCCCTACCAATTTTCAGCCAAATCTATTCTGCCATTCTTGAGTTATAAGTGGTGTAACTAACACGACTTTCTTTTATATATATAGATAATTATGTATGAATGTATATTTGCATCTAAGAAAAGTGTTTGATACTCTTAGGGGAAGGACACGGTGGAACACACAGTAGGGGAATGCCCTGCGTGGGCTGTGCACCGCCGTGCCCTCAGGGAAGTGATCGGCGAATGCGACCTCTCGCGTCCGGGCCTAGTGCAGGTCATGATGCGGAGCGAGGGGGACTGGGATGCCGTCTCCTCCTTTTGCATAGCAGTCATGCTAGCTAAGCAGGAGGCGGGACGCATGAGGCAGCGAAGCGCTGCCTGATCGCAACCAAGCCATTGCGAAGGACACACCGGGCGTCGGGGATCGCGGCACGATCTCCGGCCACCGTAAGCGTGGGCCTGCGGACGGCGAGTATGGGTGGCTCCCCCGTCCGACCAGAAACAGACCCGAGCGTACGGCGCGTCGCGTTCCGTGCGTGCCTCAAAGAGCCATCAGACCACCACAGATGGGGCCCAACAGGGCCGATGCCGATTCAGAGTCGCGGAGAACCTAACGGACCGGGGCTCCGTTCGACGTGCAGGAGAAGGAACGGGGTGGTTTTTAGTCAGTAAGAGTCTGACACTCCCTCCCGCCTGACCTAGGCGGGAGAAGTCATTTGATGACTTTCCCCCCTTAAAAAAGGGGGAAGCTTTTAGTATATTAATTAAGCGATTTCAAAAAAGAGGGGGTTGAAGTCAGTTTTTTAAGTGAAATAGATTTTTTAAGGAATTATTCATACTCTGCAATCATTCGTCAAATGATGCAACTGCTTGTAGATGTACTAGTTGCAGAGCATATAGGTAATTATGTTCTTTACGCATGCAATAATATAGGGGAAGTTCTGACATCGGCGCGGCAGGTGATGCCAATCAGTACAACGTGTTTTTTATCTTCAAATGTGCCGCCGTCATCAATCAAGGTTTGATATTATAATCGCATACTATCTTTGGTACGATCATAATAAATGCACAATTCTGCTACTGCACTGATTTATTTGTAAACGTTATCAATTAATCCAGGAAAAACATGGTTCGAAATTAATCATCGGCGATTGTTGCAATTGATTAAAAATATTTGTGTTCTTTTCGATGACATCACTATACTAATGTAAAAAACGAGGATATTAATGTTATATCCTTGTTTTTCCTTGTATATAATTAGGTAACAAACAATCTACTATTATTAATAGGTACTGCTACTACTATACAGATATAATTTCACACGCCCCTTTTATTTAGAGAATTTTAAATGCATTATTTTTAACTTCTGCCGAGACGTATTCCTAATCGCAAACAAAATTTCATATAAAAAAAACCCTGTATGTACACATAATAATGTGTAATATTACAGGAATGTAATACTAGGTAGTTTCAATTTTGCTAAAACAAATGAAGACTCATTTGTGTCAGTTGTAGATACTAGGCAAGGCAAATTCCAGAACCATAACGAGCGGCAGATCAATGTAAAATTTAATTATTGTATTATATAGATGGACGCATGGGACTCGAGATTAAATTTTAATTTTTCACCAGGGCAAATAATTATTTCCACATCTTTATATTATTATACGGTGTTTCTTATACATTTATAAAAACGTTCTATAAAAATTAAAGACCTGTGCCTAAAAATGTGTTCACAATCAATTAATTTAAATCATTCTGGAAAAAATGTTATTAACGAGTTAAAGATTTCCCAAATGAATATTTTAACTGAATATAAGTTTATGTATTTCAAATATTTTTTTAAGAAATAAATAAAACTGTTTTATTATAAATTTTGTACATTGAAAACATAGAATTAAATATAGTAGGGGTGTTACTACATAGACACTAAACTAAAATACGGGAAAATATTTTAAAATATTTTTTCACTGTCTTTTTGTCGTTTGTCTACCTTACGTGACCTTTACGCATCACGCAAAAAATATTGGTCCGGTTGCAATGAAACGTTGTACGAAGATTATACTTTAATATCCTAGGCATCACTGGGTACCTTATATCCCGAAAAGGTATACACACTAAAATAATTGTATGTATAGACTAAACATTTGTGAGTTTGTGTATTTTTTTATTACTCAATCACGTCAAAAGGGCTTAAGAGACCGGGATGAAATTTAGAACAGAGGTAGATGATAGACCATCATTAGAAGAGAGCTTTTACGTCAGGAAATGCGGCTGAAACCGGTGATGTTTGAATGGCCATGCTGCTCAATATATTTATTAATATATTAGGTGAGTACTTCTTACTTCATAATCAAGGTTTCAGGTTATAATTAACAAAATATAATTTAAAGCTTAAAATCAAATAATTTATTATAAAAACATAAAAGTCAAATTTTCAAAACAATTTAACAGAATATATAAAAACAAGCAACAAAATAAAGACGAAAATTAAATAAAATATTAAATACCTATGACATTCAAATGTCCCAATTCAAATAAAAGTCTTACATTATTAATTGTTGTGATTTTCTCTAACTTCTGGTATAATTCTGTTTCCACAATCTTCTAAAATAGTAAATGTACTTCTGTAGTAGGACCGTAAAACTAAAGTTAAGGACGGGTCTGCCATGATTGCAAATGTAAAATTTGTCGCATTATTATGTGGGAAAAAATCAAGCCTTCATAACGTCTTGAATGATTTTCTTCTAAGCTACATTTTTTTCGCTAGGAATAACTCTGTTGCCACAGTTAACATTCCAATCCCAGTCACAATATTCCTTTTCTGGATTGTAGAGAAGATTTTGTGGACAATCCAATGCTGCAGGTTCTCCACCAAAACATTTATAAAATTGATTACAATTTTCATGAGCGACCAACACGCCATCTGAACCTTCAGCGGCGCAAATAGCAGGAGCTTGGCTAGGATCGCTGTTTCCTCCAGATACTAGGTCGGGGTCTTTATCTTCATTGGGGTTTCCACCGCTTATATCATCTGGTTTAATTCGGTTGCTACAGTCGACATTCCACTCCCAGTCACAATATTCCCTTTCTGGATTGTAGAGAAGATTTTGCGGACAATCCAATGCTGCAGGTTCTCCTCTGTAGCATTTATAGAATTGATTACAATTTTCATGAGCGACCAAAACACCATCTGAACCTTCAGCGGCGCAGATGGCAGGAGCTTGGCTAGGATCACTGTTTCCTCCAGATACTTGCTCGGGGCCTTTGTCTTCGTTAGGTTTTCCACCACTTATATCATCTGGTTTAATTCGGTTGCTACAGTCGACATTCCACTCCCAGTCACAATATTCCCTTTCTGGATTGTAGAGAAGATTTTGCGGACAATCCAATGCTGCAGGTTCTCCTCTGTAGCATTTATAAAATTGATTACAATTTTCATGAGCGACCAAAACACCATCTGAACCTTCAGCGGCGCAAATGGCAGGAGCTTGGCTAGGATCACTGTTTCCTCCAGATACTTGGTCGGGGTCTTTATCTTCATTGGGGTTTCCACCGCTTATATCATCTGGTTTAATTCGGTTGCTACAGTCGACATTCCACTCCCAGTCACAATATTCCCTTTCTGGATTGTAGAGAAGATTTTGCGGACAGTCCAATGCTGCAGGTTCTCCTCTGTAGCATTTATAGAATTGATTACAATTTTCATGAGCGACCAACACGCCATCTGAACCTTCAGCGGCGCAAATAGCAGGAGCTTGGCTAGGATCGCTGTTTCCTCCAGATACTTGCTCGGGGCCTTTGTCTTCGTTAGGCTTTCCGCCGCTTATATCATCTGGTTTAATTCGGTTGCTACAGTCGACATTCCACTCCCAGTCACAATATTCCCTTTCTGGATTATAGAGAAGATTTTGCGGACAATCCAATGCTGCAGGTTCTCCACCAAAGCATTTATAGAATTGATTGCAATTTTCATGAGCGATCAACACGCCATCTGAACCTTCAGCGGCGCAAATGGCAGGAGCTTGGCTAGGATCGCTGTTTCCTCCAGATACTTGGTCAGGGTCTTTATCTTCATTGGGGTTTCCACCGCTTATATCATCTGGTTTAATTCGGTTGCTACAGTCGACATTCCACTCCCAGTCACAATATTCCCTTTCTGGATTGTAGAGAAGATTTTGCGGACAATCCAATGCTGCAGGTTCTCCTCTGTAGCATTTATAGAATTGATTACAATTTTCATGAGCGACCAACACGCCATCTGAACTTCAGCGGCGCAAATGGCAGGAGCTTGGCTGGGATCGCTGTTTCCTCCAGATACTTGCTCGGGGACTTTTTCTGCCTCTTGGTTTCCACTGCTGAAGCCATCTGGTCTAATTCTGTCACCACAGTCTACTTGTTCAGCCCAATAACAGAACGGAGCCCACCATAGAAGGTTAGGAGGGCAAGGCATGGTAACGGGTTTGCCATGGTCGCACTTGTAGTATTTGTCGCAATATTCATGGTCGAAAATAAGACCTTCAGAATCTTCGGCCGCGCAAATTTCAGCGGGAGATCGAACGTCTTTTTCTATCTTCTTCTCAGAGACAAATTTTCTACTAGGAATAATTCTATCACCACAGTCTACATTGTGGGGCCAGTCACACACTTGAAGTTTAGGATTAAATAGGAGACCATCTGCGCAGTGTAGTTCCACTTGACTGCCAAAGAAGCACATATAGTAGTGGTCGCATTTTGGATGGGGCAGTAAGACACCAACTGAATCTAGAGTGCAGCTCGAGCTCGCTTGAGCTGCAGCTGCTGTGCAGAGAAGCAACAGCGCTATGCCTGAAACAAAAATTGAAGGATTTCTCAAACTCCTTTTCTATTCGGTTACTTATTTAAGTTTTTAATTTAATTTACTTTATATGTTCGAAACATGGTTCCTTTTCTCACCATTGAAATTTTTTATTGTCAAACAAATTAGTTCTACAAATTATTTTTAGTTAGAAAATATAATCACCATTTATGTAAAATGTAGGATTACGATAGTGCGAAATAGTTAAATACATTCTTCATATTGGTTTACAAATAGACATAGTAGTAATTTGCTTTAATAGAATTAAATATTTAATTGACAAGGGTCTTACCTTTCATGATATAATTGACTCGTGGTATTAAACTGTGTGTATTATTTACACAATATGAAGAAAACACTACTGATCGTGTGTCTGCAACGACTGTTTTTAATTTATACTTCGCTCATTTAATATCTAAACTGCATGACGATAATAAGTAGATAAGAACACTGATTTTTAAATGATTAATATGAATTTGTAATTTAGCACTGATAAAACATTTAACTAAATGCACCCGCGGCTTCACTTACTTTAAAAAGGCAACAAGTAAAAATTGAATTTTAATTGAGGTTTTGAGATAAATATTTTGGACGTGGCATTAGTTTAATAAAAAAAATAATCATCCCGAGTGCTTCTAGGAGAAGTCACCGTTCCTTATTTTCTAATTTTATTAATTTCGAATAGAATAGGGTAGTTTCCTTAATTTTATTTGAATGTCCGTATGGTAAATTATTTTAAAACATTAGACACGTATTTTTTTTCACAATATTAAATGCTTTCGACGACACAATGATTTGAAATATCGTGTGACGTCACAGGGTGCTACAAAATGTAGCAAGCACGTTGTGACGTAACTTAACTCCATTTTATTTAAGTATTGTAACTTTATACGAGAAAATAAAAATACGTGTCTAAACTGTCAAATACCGCGAGGACACCTGTGACCGCAACCTATTGTTCTTTAATTATGTCTATAATGACGGTACTCAAAGGGTTAATATTTTTTCATTATCTAACTGACGGACTAATAAGACTTTTAATTTTCTTACCCTGGAACTACCCTATTGTGAAAAAGGAGCAGGAACTGGATACAGATTAGTTTACCCTCACTTCTCAGCTTTCCTTAATTGGTTCGCTGGAGTGAACGATGATGAGGAACAGGTCGCCCACCTCTGAATCGTCTTTATTGACCATCTAGAGTAGAGCCGCGAGTGCAGTGATTCTGCTCGGAGTGTATAATACTATTCGTAGGTCCAGGGATGTAGGAGGCTTCGGCTGGAGCAGATAATGTGAGTAGAAAGCGGTGGTAATTTATTTACCCTTTCAGTCACTCACATTGCCGTTGTCCCTCTTTTGCTTTACTATCTAGCGACCATTCCCGGGGCAGAGTCATAGTGGTTGAAGACGCTTGCTTCTAATACATGAGGTTCGAAACTTACCAACAGCAAGTAGGTACTAATGTCACCTTTTCCATTTTACATTGGCTTTCTAAGATTATTTAGACACCACTGACAAACGGTGATGGAAAATATCACGAGGAAACCTAAGCTTATAATTATACATTGTTTCGGCAGGTGATAAATTATTTTAAGATACATGTGAAGTTAGTAAAGTACGTAACTCGGAACAACAGATTATTTTGAGTGCGTTACAAACCGTGTACAAAATTGGTTGACTGAACTACTGAGATGGATACTTCAAAAATAATGACGTAACCAAGTAGTGAGTTCGGCTTCCCGGAACTCTCACTTAGAATACAAATAATATAAACATTGCGTCACCACATCACGCTAATATTATACTAGCTGTTACCCGCGACTTCATCCGCGTAGAATAATTTATTGTATAATGAATATAATGATAATAATGATAAGAACTATTCTATCGGCTATTGTAGATACCGAATCTCTCTAAAATAAGTTCAGTAGTTTAGAGATAGTCCTGGGGCATTAACAAATACGGCGCGTTCCCGTGGGACTACTGTGATAAAAACTATCATATATCTTTCCCACATTTATCATTTTTTTGAGTAATTATCAATTTACCGTAAATTTAGATTCAATGGCTATAAAGATTTATACAAACTCTAATATCCTATTTTATCCCCTTAGATGTAGAATTTATTAAAATCATTCTTTAGAAGATACGTTATTGTAGCTTTATGCATGCAGTCTCAGCCCAATCAGTTTAAATTTGACAGAGTTTTACACAAACTTTTATACCCTACTTTATCCCTTTGGGGGTAGAGTTGATCAAAATCTTTTTCTAGGATATGCCATCTACCTGTATGTCGAATTTCAACTCGATTGGCTTAAAACTGTCAAATTTTCATCCGCTCTTTTACCTCCTTAGGGGTGGAATTGATAAAAGTCCTTTCTTAGGGGATTTAATCAGCCCATTTCAAGTTGAATAAAGCACCTTGTATTATTGTTTTGCACCTTGGAATCTGGATTTCGGTTTCCATGTCGAGCAAAGCATATAAGGGCTTTATATATCTACCTCTACACACACCTACAACACCACTAGGTGGTATAAGTGTTTATTAAATTTTCGTAAATCTTGAATCATAAGACGGAGTCTACAGTGGCGTATACTAACAAAAGCGTAGAAAGTAACGTAAACTATGCCAACATATCGTCGTGTCAGACCCGTGAAAGTAACCAAAACTAAATAAAAGATGACCATAAAACAGCACAACTCTAAGTATTCATTTATTCAAAGGGAAATTATATGTGCGGCAACAAAAGTTTTCTTTAGCACCTGCAACCTAGCGTCTTTTTTTATATGTGAGCGACGAGTTAATAGAACAGCTTCAATTATATTAATTCATCATCTTTACTATTCCAACAAAATATCAAGAAACCAGCGTCAATTTACGAGCGTAAATTAATATGACTCCGAGCTACCGATAAATATATTTACTTCTGATTTGATAACTCAGCGACTAATGTTGACTGACTGCACAGCAATTTTGGGCACCCCGAAACATTTGGTTAGGTTAGGTTAGAACTGCGACCCTCACAAGGCGCGAGGCGAGCGAGCGTAGCGAGCGGTGCCGCGGTAGCGGCCGCCGAGCGTTATATCACTAACTGCTTTTCAAATCTTTTCATACCATTTAGCCGTTTATATTAAAAACTAGCTGTTGCCCGCGACTTCGTCCGCGTAGATTAATGACTTCTGACAGAATCAATTCAGTGCCCAAGTAAGATTTACCTATTTTGAAATGATTTATCGTAGTTTCAATAAATAAATAATCCCGCAGGGATCTTACCAGTACAGTGCCCGATCACGTAAGGTTTGAGTAATAAAAACTATTCTATCGACTATTGTTGTACCGAATCTCTCTAAAATAAGTTCAGTGGTTAAGAGTTAGACAGTCCCGGGGCATTGACGCATAGTTCCCGTTCCCGTGGGACATCTGTGATAAAAACTATCAAACGTTACCCAGGTCCCAAATCATCGTTTTACCGAATGTAATTCAAAAAGATTCAATGATTCTAAATTCAATGGCTAAGAAGATTTATACAAACTCTCATTCCCTATTTTATCCCCTTAGGGGTGGAATTTATCAAAATCCTTTCTAAGGAGATACCTATGTCATAGTAAATTTATGCATGCAAAGTCTCAGCCCGATCAATTTAAAACTGGCAAAGTATCATACTTTGGGGTGAGAATGTTCAAAAACCTTTATAAAGGGACGTTTACGTCATAATATCCACCTGCACGCCGAATTTCAACCCGATCGGTGTAAAACTGACAAAGCTTCATACAAACGTTCATCCCCTACATTACCCCATTGGAGGTGGAAGTAATCAAAATCCTTACTTGGAGATGCCTACGTCATAACATCTACCTGCATGCCGAATTTCATCTGCATCGGTGTAAAACTGACAAAGCTTCATATAAACTTTCACCCCCTATTTTACCCCCTTAGGTTGTGAAATGATCAAATCCTTTCTTAGCGGATGCTTATATGATAACATCTATCTGCATGTCAAATTTCAATCCGATCGATTTAAAACTGACAAAGTCTCATACAAACTTTCATCCCCTATTTTTCCCCCTTGGGGGTGGAAATTATCAAAATCCTTTCACAGCGGATTACTACGTCATAACATCTATCTGCATGCCAAATTTCAACCCGATCGGTTTAAAACTGACAAAGTCCCATACAAACTTTCATCCCCTATTTTACACCCTTGGGGGTGGAAATTATCAAAATCCTTTCACAGCGAATTACTACGTCATAACATCTATCTGCATGCCAAATTTCAACCCGATCGGTTTAAAACTGACAAAGTCGCATACAAACTTTCATCCCCTATTTTACCCTCTTGGGGGTGGAAATTATCAAAATCCTTTCACAGCGGATGCTTACGTCATAACATCTATCTGTATGCCAAATTTAAACCCGATCGGTTTAAAACTAACAAAGTTTCATACAAACTTTCATCCCCTTTTTTACCCCCTTGGGGGTGGAAATTATCAAAATCCTTTCTTAGCGGATGTCTACGTCATAACATCTATCTGTATTCCAAATTTTAGCCCAATCTATCCAGCGGTTTGGGCTGTGCGTTGATAGATCACTATGTCAGTCAGTCAGTCAGTCAATCACCCTTGAATTATATATATATAGATATTAGTTTAAATGTTGCGTCATATTAACAGTAGCTTGTTTTACAATATATGGTCGCTTATAAACCATTTATTAGACGCTAAAAGTTTGTCGCTGACCTATTAATTCATTAGACAACTAAATATATTTGCAGACGAGAATGACATTTTAAAGAAGCTGCCTTAATTAGCACCCTTATTCAAATAGTACACTTTATCAATGACAGTTTTGAAAAAAACATTAGGGTACTTGATTTTATTTTGTTTTATTTGTAAGTAACAAAAGGGGAAACAAAACGTTCTTATTATTCATTCATTCATTAGGGCATTTTTTTTTGTCAAATCATGTTCAATTTACTACCCGTTTCTATTTGTAGTGTAGTACTATATTGAGTACTTTTCATTTAATTAGTTTCAATTTTTGATTGTCTTGTTTAATGTATGATTTCTTTCGTTGGTACTTATTTGTAATGTCAATTCTGTAGATATATTTTTATAGTATGATATGTCCCAACAAAATGCTGCTCAGGGACGTTTTGATGCCAAATTCAAATTTCTAACTTCTTATTAAACTATCAGGATATTATGTATTATTAAAAATAAGTGTTATTATATGGAAGAAAAATAAAAAATAAGTATTAAATTTTATTAATTGTTGTGATTTCCGCCTACAAAATCATCTGGTATAATTCTGTTTCCACAGTCTACCATACCAGCAAATATACAGAATGAAGAATGTTGGAAATAGTAAAACAAAAGTTTAGGTGGGCACTGCATGGTAACGGGTCTGCCATGATTGCAAATGTAGAATTTGTCACAATATTCATGGGGTAAAATCAAGCCTTCAGAATTTTCAGCCGCACAAATTTCACCAGGAGATTGCGATCGAACGTCTTGACCCAATTCCTTCTCAGCAATAAGTTTTTCACTAGGAATTACTCTGTTGCCACAATCAACATTCCAAGACCAGTCACAATATTCCTTGTCTGGATTGTAGAGAAGATTTGGCGGACAATCCAATGCTGCAGGTTCTCCTCTGTAGCATTTATAGAATTGATTGCAATTTTCATGAGCGACCAACACGCCATTTGAACCTTCAGCGGCGCAAATGGCAGGAGCTTGGCTAGGATCACTGTTTCCTCCCGATAGATGGTCGGGGCCTTTATCTTCGTTAGGGTTTCCACCGCTTATATCATCTGGTTTAATTCGGTTGCTACAGTCGACATTCCATTCCCAGTCACAATATTCCCTTTCTGGATTGTAGAGAAGATTTGGCGGACAGTCCAAAGCTGCAGGTTCTCCTCTGTAGCATTTATAGAATTGATTACAATTTTCATGAGCGACCAACACTGCATCTGAACCTTCAGCGGCGCAGATGGCAGGAGCTTGGCTAGGATCGCTGTTTACTCTAAATACTTGTTTGGGGACTTTTTCTGCCTCTTGATTTCCACTGCTGAAGCCATCTTGTCCGTCTTTTTCTATCTTCTTCTCAAGGATTAAGTTTCTCCTGGGAATTATTCTATCGTTCGCCTGAGCTGCAGCTACTGCACATAAAAGTAGAAGCGTTATGCCTGAAACAAAAAACAAAACCATTGCTTAGATTCTTTAACCTTTTCAATTTTTCGACATATATTTAATTTACTTTACCTAAAATATTACCTATTTAAGTAAAGTAAATTAAATATATGTCGTTATTTAGAAAAAAAAAACATTTATTTATTTCTCGAACAAAAATAATGGTTCATCATTTTTACTATCACAATTTATTTTTAAACATATCCACACAATTTTATTGTAAAATAGTTAAATATATTCCTGATATGGTTTTGAAATAAACATAAAAAGTAATTTACTTGGATGAAATAAATATGAATATATTATGTAATTGACAAATTGACTTACCTTTCATATTGATGCGTGTTTTTAATTATTTTTTGACAATGCACTGCTGGTTAAATATGTGCAACGACTGACTTTTATTTATACTTTTCTTCAATTAATATTTGTATTATATGATGATTATCAATCAGATATGAACGTGGGTTTATAAAAGATTAACCTGAATTTGTAATATAGTACTGATAAAATACTAACACAGAAATAAATATTGACGAATTGAAGTTTAATGTTTAGATCGTATGTACCCCAAATCCCAACTGCTGTTGTAGCTTCACTTACGTTTACATTTCGAAATAAATAAATGGTATAGCAAAACGTAAAATGTGGTAAATATTCGAAGATTGAGGTTGAAAAATTTTAACATAACATAACGTCTTTTATCCCCGAAGGGGTAACACGCCCTTTTCACTTTTTATTTTATGAGTACCATGTAATAGGGGGTGAGCCTATTACCATATTCCGGGCACATTTCAAGACTCCGTGCTACCACTGAGATTTTTTTAAAACCCAGTAATACTTTGCCCGACGCGGGAATCAAAGCCGAGATCCCTTGCCCGGCAGTTGCACTTGCGACCACTCGGCCAACGAGGCAGTCAAAATTTTTAACTTACATCAAAACAGAAAACGGCACCTAAAAATATTTTAATGGATAGTTATTCGAAATGAGATGTTTAGATAAATATTTTGGGACGTGGTTGAGCATGGGAAGCGATGATAATTCCTTCATCATCATCAATGGTCCATGAGAGTACAAAGCTGAACTATGAGCGGTTTCTACAAAAGGGTTTACTCGTAATCTTCACTGATTGAAGCTAGGTGCAGTCAATTTTAAACCGACTTAAAAAAAGGAGGAGGTTATACGTTCGGCCGGTATGTTGCTTTTTATTATAACATATGTAATTGTTTTTTAAAACAGTTTTAAAGTATACGACTAAACACAAACAAACATCCCGTTTCTTCGAGATTTCGATTTTAATACCTATGTCGAACAAGGTATAAGGATATGTCTCATTTCGCAAAATTCTGAGCAGTAAGACGGGGTCTAGAGTGATGTCTGAGATTTTAGTATGACAATAGACTTAAGTAATTTTACTAGGAAGTCTAAACAACTTAGGAAAAGTTGTCACATTTAATAAGTGCAACATTTGTCTATAATGATGACGTTTGGCCACCATCTCGCCAATGTATTTAATTGTCAATACTTAACCAGTTTTGGATATGATCTTGTCCTATTTGACAATCGAACTCAGTGTAAAAATAATTAATTCGTATTATTAATAATACGAATTAGTGAAAAGTAGGTGCTACATTACAGTGGCTTTAAGTGCCGTAATGTAGGCACATTACGGCACTTAGGTAGGCACCTCTTCGGGGATAAAAGGCGTGATGTTATATTATGTTAATAATACGAATAACAATAAATCACGACTTTAATTAATATAGTTATTTAAATAACTATCGATTTTCTAAATATAGTATTGTGTTTACAGAAATTAAATAGGGACTTTCTACTAGAAATTATCGCTTTTGATAATCAATACATTTGTTATGAATTAATCAATAATAAAATGGATAGCCTTCTTATCATTACCACCTTTACTGTATATTTGTAATCAACAGTGTTGCACTTAGATAAATCTTTTCATTTTTGTGTCACTGCAGTTCTAATATCTACCTAATTACCTGTGCGTAAGAATTCAGAATGACTTGACACAAGTAAAAGGGTGGGATAGATTAGCTTTCTTGTTTTTATTAGCCCGATATAACATACGATTTTCACCGTGGATATTCCTTTTTTGTAATACAAGTCTTATCCTAAATTGTTCTGATTTGGTGTACTTATTTAAAAGTATATAACTTTGATTTGTGTCTGATATATTATAGATAGCACGCTCAATGTTAAAATTTTCTCCATGAGCGAATGAGTGAATGGATTACTTATCTTGATGCTAAGTGATTAGTGCCTACCCTGCCTATGCATACTTGCAATATCAATAGAGTTACAAGTCCGTTATAGTTCTTTAAATGAAGTTGACCGAAGGGTCAACAACTTTATTAATTGTTTTTTTGGATGAAAATCAATGTTGGGTGAGGCGAGAGGGAATGTTAGACTCTTACTGACTAAAAATGACCCCGTTCCTATTCCTACTTCGAGCCCAACTTTGACTTTTCTCGCTTCTTGTGACATCTCTAATTATGTTTTGCTTTTAATATTTTTTACTCATAACTAGATGACGCATAGAGACCCTAACAACCTGGAGAAGCTTGTGATTGTTGGTCACGTTAACGGGAAAATACCTCGTGGTCTCTTACCTAACCATCGGTTGGATGCTGTAAAAAACCTAACCGGCCTGACAGTTCCACAAGCCGTGAATACCGCAGAGGTGCTTGGCGGAGGGTTGTGCATCAAGTAACGCGTGCACCAGACTAGACACGACTTTCAGTAATTAAGAAAACGACTAGGAAGAAGATGGCGTTGGGTTAGTTTAGATATTTAAACGTTATTTTTTGATTGTTTTTATTATTTTTAAACCCAATGAAGCATTTGATTTTAAAGTAAATAACATTTTTCGAAACACGTTAGAACATGAATATGTTGTGTTGACATTTATTTTGACCATTATAAAGCACACGAGTAAAGCGTCTAATTATAATTCCGGGAATGAAATTTACTCGTGATTATCATATCCGTACTTTATCTTGGATTTTTCCAACGAACAAAAACGGACCTTATCATCATTGCCATATCACCCTTGACATACTGCGTCACATCTGATATAGTCTGACGATTCATTCATTTTTTATAAACCGATAGGTTTTCATTGATTGTCTAAACAGTTTTATGGTCATTTTCACCAACCACCCCTAACCATCTCTTAACTAAAAGTTTCCTATTAGGTGTCAGTCACGTCATGTCACCTATCGGAGTGATATTACGGTCTCACAGAAAATGGACGTGAAACAACTTGCGTTTTGTTTCGTCGTGTGAGTGAGGCCCATTCGCCCCTCCCCCCCTCTTCTCCAATCTCCACCTGAATCCCCAACAATCTTCAAATTCGTAGTCTCCAAAATACCGGTTACGGACTTGTTCTGGTGTTTCAGGTATCCGTCTGCTCGTTTCCCGGCTTATCCCTCATAAAAACCCTCTATTAGAGAATCTGAATTGGTCAGATTCTCTTTTTTACACCACGACGGTGGCAAAAAGCACACTGCTCACCTGATATGAATGCTTACAAAACTTGGGGTACTACATGTGCCTTGCCGACCCTGAAAACACCTATCTACTTCTTTCGTGAAGAACCCCATAGTATACTACTCCTACTCGAAAAACTTATCTAAGCACGGAACAGTATACCTAACTGGTGAAAATGGGTCTTGCATTTACTATACTAATTTATTTTTCATTTTATCTATGGGATGTACACATACACACTTACATACTTAAATGTTTATAGCTATTTTTTAATGACTAATTTATTTTTTTGTCGGATTACTGTCAAACCATCTGTACCTTGAATTTTTCAAGGCCTATCATCATTATCATTTGACACCTAACATACTGCGTAACATGATAAAATAGTCTGGTGATTGATATTATGATTAACTAAAAAAAGCCTTTTAAAAATATCGCAATCTTCATATTCATGTTGCTGACTGCCTTGTCTATTGTGCTGTGGATTTGGATTTCTTCAGTGCGATCCCCAAAGACAGGCTAAAGTTTAACGTAGTTAATAGATTTATACTAAGGCTTGGATCGTCAACCAATTCATAATTTTGATAACCATGTGTGGCAATGTTTTATATTTCTCGTATCCCAATAATTACTCCCAGATTTGAATTTCAAACTAATTGAAAAAGAGTAACTAACCAGTGAGTTTATTGCTCTGTCTTCTCGTTTGGAATCTACACTATGAAACTATTTATTTTGATAATCACGAGTGAGTGTCATAAATGTGAAGCTTTACTTTCGTATAACTTTAGATCTAAATTACAAATAGACTTGAATTTTTGGATTTGAAGTATGCAGTTATTGTTTACTGGATGATACAGTTTCTGCGTTCTGATTTTATTGAGAAGTTTTTAAATAGGTGGCTAAATTGCGGCGAAATAGATAGAGTAAAGGATGGTACGATAGTGTTTGTTTCGCGCTCGACTTGACGGGGGAACTGCCGTGCTCCCAGATGCACCATTTTTAGCATTTCATAAAATCCTTTCTTATAGACGCTTAGGTTCGTTACAAAAAAGTACAAACATGATCTAATTTATAGATATAAATTTATGGTTAGCTTAACCTGTACATTAGTTTAATGATCAGTCAGTCATTTATAAATTAACACTGATTAGGAAGAAGCCAAAAGAAAGTAACAATATTTTTTTAATACTTTATTAACATCAATGGTAAGAAATGCAAACGATAAATATTATACAACGGTGTCATTAAACAGTATTAAATAATATGTCTTTAAGGTATGGTAAGTTCTGGAGAACCAGATGGTACTTCATTATGTGGCCGCTAATATTGCAAACACTACCATGCAAGACAAACACTTTTGTTATGGCCATGTATGGACGATAAAGTCGCAGATTTAGTTGCTAATGAACCAAAAAACGTCTAGAATCATCTTTACATCAATCCTTGTTATTGTTTCAAGAAATATTGGAAGAATGGGGCTCAAATGATTACTTTAAGTTGTCAATACATTAAACACGGTTACCGCAGTTTACGTTAGATGGCCAGTCACAATATTCTTGTTCTGGGTTGTACAGAAGGTTCACAGGGCATCCCATAGCAACGGGCTGTCCTCCGAAACATTTGTAGAATTGATCGCAACGTTCATGGGCAACCAAAATTCCATCTGAATCTTCAGCGGCGCAAATAGCAGGAGCCTGGCTGGGGTCGTCGTAGTGGTGTCCTCCTGGTTGTTGTGGATCATTATTTTCATTATGATTTCCGCCATCAACTTTCTCAGGTACAATTCTGTCACTGCAGTCTACGTGTTGATGCCAGTCACATACTTCAAGTTCAGGGTTAAACATAAGACCCTGTGCGCAGTAAAGTTCAATTTTCATACCACCAATGCACATGTAGAATTGGTTGCACTTTTCATGGGGTACCAACTTGTGTTCATTGGGTGAGCAAGAAGAATTTGCGTGCGCAAAAGCAACGCAGAGAAGAACTAATGCAAGACCTGAAATAAAATACCTAATTGTAGTAGGTTCTTAAGCTTTTGGGACATGACAGATATGGCACAATTTTTAATTCAACACATTTATTCGTATTTTTGTCAATTAGTAAAATAAAATAGTAGTTTCATTTTATGTTTAAGTTTTTATATAAATTTCAATCTCACAACAATGAAGAAAAATTCATACGCTATTACCTCTAAATATATGTAATACTGAGTAAGGGTTAATTTTAAAAAAATTCACGTACCTTTCATGATGTAATTTTTTTTAACAATTCTTCACTGTATGCGGATGGGCCACAATTAATTTCAATTTATACCTCCCTCGTTTAATATTTCAACTGAAATGCCTATGATAAAATCAATTAGATTGACTTATTGAGATTATTTCATTTAATTTGGAAAACCAGCTGCAGATAACGATAATTATTGTAAAGACGGTATAAATATTTACGATTCAAAGGTAATCAAGATTTCGAAGAAAACAACAATATCTTTATCCGCAGTTTTACTTACGAAACACTTATTATTTGGAATATTGACCGTATTAAAAAGTAATAAATTGACAAGAAAGTTCAAGTATGGGAGAGCCATGCCTCAGCACGAATGGGCCGGCTTCATCGGAGTGATAGCACGGCTTCACAGAAAACCAACGTGAATCAACGCTTACCCCTCATGATTTTAGAAACTTGTTAAGAGATATATTGCAAATCTTTTCTTTAAAATATATTATATAACATCCTCTATTTTGATAAAACATAATAAGTACACAAAGCACCGCTAATTAGTTGCAGCGCTACACATCGACACAACTGTCATTTACACAGTGTACATGTGTGCGTAATTTCATATAACTGTATATAAAAATATTCGTCCACCACGTTCACATTGGTATTTTCATTCTTGTGTCGGTATACGTATTTTTATAATTTAATGCATAGGTAAGGTTAAAACTATTTACAATCATTGATATGACCCGACATTTTCACTGTCATTATCGTAGTGCTCGTGGTCGATTGGTTAATGAGCACGCTTTTATCGTCTTTCAAGGATCAATGATGTGGGTTCTATTCCAGCTAAAAGTTAATTTTATTTTACCTTGTTATTTTTCTTATTTTTTTTTTGTTTTTTGTCATAAAATATAAATATCAGGCTATAAAAGAAGCAAATGAGTTGGTAAATAAAACAATACTATTTTTTATTACAATTAATTTATTTATTATACAAATATGTTGTTTTATATTCAATATTTATATCTAATAATTAATTATATACCACATGTTAAGTTTAAAGTTCTTTAAATCATAATTAATAGATATGACAATAAACCTCATAGTCGAATCGGGAAATATCATGCGGTACAGCGGTAATACGATGGCAGCAACATTTTTTATTAAGTAGGTAATAAACAAATATACAACATTCTTGTTTTGTAATTTAATAATATAATGTATTATTAAATTACAGTTTTACAGTAATAAACAAGTAAAACATGTAAAAAATTACACTGTCAACATAATATTTCTTGAAATGGGCGACTTTTTGTCGTTTGAACTTCCATTAATTATCTATTTTACGACGGTTGTTATAAGGTTCAATATTCAGTGGGCTGTATGATAGTAAAAAGAATGTGACGAATGCTATGGAACGATTTTAACTTTCATGACCTTTAGAATCAGGGAAACTTTAAATTAATTGAAGATGGGCGTAAATATAATATGTCAATCAAGTTCGAAAGCAGTTAAATAAATTTGTTAATGAAAAATTAAAGTGAAGTGAATAAACATGTTGAATAGAAAGAAATTATGACAATTTCTAACCACAAAACAATAACATCACTTCACCGTATGTTCTAGACAGCATTTTAATATTCTTAAAAAAATTAAACATTATTTTATGTTAATTTTAATAAAGGCAGAGTTTGACAGGCTCAATAATTGATTCCGAAATCAATACAATCACTGATCCTACAAGGCAGAAGGTTGCAATTCGTATACCTTTCTCCATCTTTTCTTCACAATATTTTACGCCCATCCTTATCCGACTTGAAAGTCTTTTCGTCGCTCAATATGATTACACTGTTCGCCCAATCAAAATTAATAAAGTCCTTAGCAAATTCTTAGCGCTTTTGCTGGTGAACCACAGATAACAATATTTTCTTCTCTGGCTTCCTGCACCTTAAACCAGAATGCAGGTGTCTCCGTACAGTTTGTATTAAAACATTCAGTGCTGTCGCTGTAGTGCGGGTTGGCAGGAACGGATCAGCCATGTGCCTGGCTACGATGTCGTAGTGCCGAGCCGATGAATTTGCCTTTGGTTTAGGCCCACGTCGACGATGTTTAACGTCACCGGTCTCCGCATATCTGTGCACCCATAACTGCATGGATCTCCTCTGTTGATACCAAACAAATAAGTATTTAAAATACCAGGAAATACTTTACAGGAATTAAAGTTACTTAAAAATAATAATAAATATAAGTAAACACAATGTTAGAATAATAATTTATAATTAAGTAGTGGCGTAAGGAATAAAAATCCCTAACCAGATATGTTTTAAAGAAACACTCCTAACAAAAACAAGTCAAGTTACAATACAATTAATAATAAATTATTAATATATCTTTATAATATTGAACTTCATAATAAGTTGCAATAATTATTTTATTCTAGTGCAAAAATTGATAGGTGTGTCGAGTTACAAAATGAAATAAATATTATTTAGAATATCAACGTAGTATCTTATTTACTCACCGATATCATTAAACGCCTTGCTATTTCAGTTATTGTTAGTTATGTTTTGCTCATGCAAAACAATGGTTTCAGCCTTTTTAAATGTTGATAGGTGTTGGAACATCTTGTAAAAATAAAAATAACTTTGCACACGAATATAAGTAGTGTAGCAATAAACTATGAAATCCTCATAAATTGACAACTAAGAACGCAATTATTTTGTAAGTCGGGTGATTTGAAAAACATGTTTTAAATAGTCGGTAGTTACTTCATAAGCGTGTAAAATAAAATGACTCGAGATTTCTATGGTCGCCACAAACATTGCAAATATACTCAGGTATCGAACCATTAAGAAATCACAGTTAATTACTTTTTTACTGTTTTTATCTTATTTAAGTTGGTTGAAATGCATGAAGCAAATGAGATTATTCTAAATAATAAATAACTAGAACTAAAATATAAATAAAAGATATTATAGGTATAAATAAATCTAAAGTATTTACTATTAAAATTAACATAAGATTTAGAACAATAGGAAAGGAAAAAAAAAGAAAAGATTTAATTGTTTCTAATTTCAAATTTCAAATATTTGATAAATTAATTCTAAAACAACATGTGAATGTTGGAATCGATCCGGCGGCACTTTACTTGACAATTGGAGGCGATAACCATTGCGCCAAGCGCGCTGTAGATGAGATCATCGAAATATTTTATATCATTCAGTAACATAAAATTACAATGAGAAAGCACTATATTTATATGGGTATTGTATAGCTCGATCGTTCATTATTTTTGATTTCGATTTATTCAAAGTTTGTTATGAGTAATTTTATCTTTACCCTCGTTTTTATTTAAACTTATTTACTAAATTATTGCGTATACCGACACAAAAATGATTTTTAAATACCAAGATGTGTGTGATAGACGAATGTTTCTATACATATCTATTGATATGAAATTACCCACACATGTATATTGTGTAAATGATAGTTGTGTCGATGTGTAGCGCCGCTAACTAATTAGCGGTGCTTTGTGTACTTAGCTGTTTAGGTATAATACAATTATAAAGAATTATCAAAGTAATTAATCGATTTAATCACTTCCTCTAATAGATTTGTTTGCAAAAAATTAAGTATGATAAAATTATACTGTACCTATCTTATATGTATTACGGCATTTGCGTAGACCACACGCATCGGGTGACACGGTAAGATTACAATGCGTGAAAGTCATTAGTAAACTTCTTTCTTCGACAGTTGCGTAAATAACTTTATTGATTTACTAGCTTTCTGACAACCGGTTCGCCCACGTTCTCAGGGATAAGAGGAGCCTATGTGTTACTCCAGATCATAATTTCAATCAAAAATCAATCATAATAAGTGTGGGAGAGCCATGCTTCGGCACGAATGGGCCGGCTCGATCAGAGTGATACCACGGCCTCACAGAAAACCGACGTGAAACAACGCTTGCGTTATGTTTCATCGTGTGAGGGAGGTTACCGGAGGCCCAATTCCTCCCTCCCTAGTCTCCCAAATCCCCGAACCCTCCACAATCCTCTTATTCTTAATTCCCAAAAGACCGGTAACGTACTTGTAACGCCTTGGTGTTTCGGGTGTCCATGGGCCCTACAGTTACAGCGCAATGTCCACTGCGAGCAACTTAACATTCGACAAACTTATATTTGCGTTTGGTATGGTAATTTTGTCTAGGGATTGGGCCGTACAATAAGTTTTTTTTCTGTATATACTTTTTAAGGAATAAAAAGTACCCAGTAGTGTGCACAAGATATTAAAGTATAATCCTACCAAGTTTCATCGTAATCGGACCAGTAGTTTTAGCGTGATGCGTGAATGTACAGACAGACAGACAAACTTATTTTAATCACATGTTTGGGTTCGGTCAAAGTATTACCGGGTTTTTAAAAATCTCAGTATTAGCACGGAGTCTGGAAATGTGCCCGGTATATATGGCAATAGGCTTACCTCCTATTACATGGGACTCATAACATAAATAGTGAAAAGTGGGTGTAACATTGTACAGTGGTATTAAGTGCCGAAATGTGCACCTCTGCCTACCCCTTCGGGGGTAAAAAGGCGTGATGTTATGTTATGTAAATTTATCACTTACGCTTCCACAACCGTAAGGGTTCATTTTAAGTAACACTGACTATTACTTTTTGATTTCTTTCGTTTTTACTATTTAGTGCTTAGTGTGTAAAATTTGGTCTACCTATTACATCACGGGAATCTATATCTATACATAAAATAAAATCGTAGGAAAGATTGCTTGCGGCGTGATCTACAATCGATACCGAAGCCAAAAATATATTTTTTAGAATTTTTATCTGTTTGTCTGTATACCTCTATATGGCCGGGATGAACTCATAAAACGCTGCTCAGATTTATCTCAAATTTTGCATGAATATTACTAACAGGTCGGTTCAACGTATAGGCTACATATTATAACGCTATCGCTTACAGGAGAGGAGCTGTGAATCACTCTTCGACGCGGATAAAGTCGTTGGCACAGCAATTCATATCATAATCTTGTTCATCCGCGAGTCACTTAAGGGGCCAGTAGAATACCAGCGCGAGGCCCTGTCTTGCACATGCTGAACTGGTCCCATTTCACCGCAGACTTGGGACATTAGTAGATGTACTTATAAAAACTTATGTGTAAAATCTGTACGTGTCACCTGTTTTAGCGTGTGAAATAAAGTTTTTCTTTCTTTCTTTCTAATCGTGTAATTGAGTGTCAAATTGAACATTATGTACGTCTCTTCTATCTACTCTTTTGAGGATTAAAATTAGTTAGTTTATGCTTAACCAGCTTCTGCCAGCGGCTTTGCCCTCGTTTCAGTGGAATAATTAGTAGTTTATGTGTTCTGGACCATAGTCTAACCCTGTTCCAAATTTCTTATCGACTCCTTCAGCCGGTTTGACGTGAAAGGGTTAGAAACAAACATACAAACTTTCGGATTTATAATATTAGTAGGATAGTTTGAACATTTTTGGTTAGTGGAAAAAATACATTACATTTGTGTATGTGTATGTACAAATTGATATATTTGTACAATAGTAACGTTTTAATTCTTTTGAAGATTTCATTGTTTCCGAAGATTGGTTAAATCTGTCATATTTTTTTGTCTATGCATTAAAGTGTATATTTATTTAAGAAGATAGTATCATTAGACGATTTTCTATAGGTAGATTCTTAGTTCACAGTAGAAATAATTATGGTCCAATAACACTACCTTGAGGTACACCATTTTTAACTACCCCACCGTTACATAAAGGTTGGTTTGTTTTATTCAAAATATTTTTTTTTTACATAATATGACTTAATCTATTAAAATAAAATTCGAAATATACGGAATCTAGAATTTTATTAAAAATATTAAAAAATTAAATTTTAATAATACTGAAAAAATAATAACGCCTAACAACATATCATAAAACACATTTTTGAAAAAAAATTAAAATTAGTTAAAAAGAATCATTCAAATAAAAGTAACATTTTAAGTAGGTACTTATTACATAAATTTGAGTAAAATTGTAGGTAAATCTTGAAAATACTGATTAACTGTTTACTTTTTGCGCTGACCACAGTCAACATTCATAGGCCAGTCACAGACTTTGAATATAGTGTTAAAGTGTAAACCTGGTGGACAGTACATCATGGGTTCCATATGACTGTGAACACATTTATAGAACTGATTGCAGTTCTCATGGGGTATAATATCATCGTCTTTGCCTGAGCACAACTGGTTAACAAAATTGTTTCCATTACCATCATTATTTTGTGTAGGAATTACTTTATTATTGCATTTAACATTGAATTGCCAGTCACAGTAACCCTGTTCAGGGTTGTAAAATAGATTGACTGGGCAGTTCATAGCAACTGGTTTACCTTCAAAACATTTGTAGAATTGGTCGCAATTTTCATGTGCAACTAATACTCCGTCCGAATTTTCTGCTGCACAAATTTTAGGTGCTTCACTGGGGTCAGCATTATTACCAACGTTTCCACCTCCTTCCTGGTTATTACCACCGTTATTATCAACAACTTCCTTGTCGTCAGAAATTGTCCTTTCCCCGCAGTTGACGTTCCACGGCCAGTCACAATATTCCATTTCTGGATTATAGAGAAGGTTGTCAGGGCAATTCAAAGCTACCGGGTGTCCGTCAAAGCATTTGTAGAATCGATTGCAATTTTCATGTGCAACTAATACTCCATCCGAATTTTCTGCTGCACAAATTTTAGGTGCTTCACTGGGGTCAGCATAATTACCGACGTTTCCACCTCCTTCCTGATTATTACCACCGTTATTATCAACAACTTCCTTGTCGTCAGAAATTGTCCTTTCCCCGCAATTGACGTTCCACGGCCAGTCACAATATTCCAGTTCTGGTTTATAGAGAAGGTTATCAGGACAATTTAAGGCTACCGGGTGTCCGTCAAAGCATTTGTAGAATCGATCGCAATTTTCATGTGCAACTAATACTCCGTCCGAGTTTTCTGCTGCACAAATTTTAGGTGCTTCACTGGGGTCAGCATAATTACCAACGTTTCCACCTCCTTCCTGATTATTACCACCGTTATTATCAACAACTTCCTTGTCGTCAGAAATTGTCCTTTCCCCGCAGTTGACGTTCCACGGCCAGTCACAATATTCCATTTCTGGATTATAGAGAAGGTTATCAGGGCAATTCAAAGCTACCGGGTGTCCGTCAAAGCATTTGTAGAATCGATCGCAATTTTCATGTGCAACTAATACTCCATCCGAATTTTCTGCTGCACAAATTTTAGGTGCTTCACTGGGATCAGCATAATTACCAACGTTTCCACCTCCTTCCTGATTATTACCACCGTTATTATCAACAACTTCCTTGTCGTCAGAAATTGTCCTTTCTCCGCAGTTGACGTTCCACGGCCAGTCACAATATTCCAATTCTGGATTATAGAGAAGGTTGTCAGGGCAATTCAAAGCTACCGGGTGTCCGTCAAAGCATTTGTAGAATCGATCGCAATTTTCATGTGCAACTAATACTCCGTCCGAGTTTTCTGCTGCACAAATTTTAGGTGCTTCACTGGGGTCAGCATAATTACCAACGTTTCCACCTCCTTCCTGATTATTACCACCGTTATTATCAACAACTTCCTTGTCGTCAGAAATTAATCTGTTATCACAATCTACCTTTTCAGGCCAATCACACATTTTACTGATTTCATTGAAAAGAAGATTTGTTGGACAATCGAACGCAACTAGGTGGCGGCCCGAGCATTTGTAAAACTGATTACATTTTTCGTGAGGAAACAAGACTCCTTCAGAATTTTCACTCGCACATATTGCTGCTGGATTTTCGTTTCTACCATTAAGTAATTTTACTTCAGAATGGTGTTCAAGTTGATTCAAATTGCATTTCGCATTTCTTGGCAAGTCACAGAGTTCGAGTTCTGCATTGAAATGCAGCCCATGTGGACATTCTCGAACAAACTTTGTTTCTCTAAAACATACAAAGAATCGGCCGCAATCCTGATGAGGCAGTAGTTTACTGGTATCTTTAGGACATCCATTTTCAAAAAAACGCGCAGGATTAGCGTGAGCTAGAGCTGCTGCTGTTATGAACAACAGCGTTATTCCTGTAACAAAAGTGAATTTTAGTTGTAATTTCTTTAAAAACCGAATTATTTTACAAAATTTTGTTAAAAACTTCAAAATAATACTTCTAATGAGTATTGTCTTATATAACGTTATTGTTATGATTTTTTTCAATTCTATCTGTCACAGTTAGCATGACTGTATTATTTCTACAAGAAAAAATATGTATAAAATAGCTTGTGTTATTTTTCGATGGCTTTTATCAGAGTTATGTATAGTCATCACTCATCAGGTACCTTAGCGAACTGCAAAACAATGTGCATTATGAATAGTGTCATTCATTTTCTCATCTAATATTCTCTTTGCCAGACACATTTCTTTCTTTGTTATACACACTTATAAAGTAATACATTTATTAAGTAAAATGGATCTTACCTTTCATGGCAGTCGTTTTTTTTTTCACAATTGTCCAAAAAGATACTTCACTAAATGCGAACGTACTTCGATTGATTTGCAATTTATACTTCAGTTGGTTAATGTTTGAACTGCATCATGATAAATTATCAAGATAAGGATACTGATCTTAAAATGATTACAGTTTATTTTACTTCAGAATCTGATGACAAAGATAAAACTTTGAACAAAGGAAATTAAAAAAAATGGATTTTGAGGAATATGTAAATAAAATAAAAATCATTCATTTTTCATGCTTTGGTCAAGCAAATGATCACAAATTACTCTTCAATTACTAAATTCCTTACAATTCATATAATAATAATTCATAATTATTGCACCCCTGCACCCCTTACTGGCTGTCCCAGTAACGCGAACAGTCGTGCATGCAAATTCTCCGCTTGTACGAGCATTAACGATGATCAATGCTTTCCTGGCATCTACACCAAAGTGTGATTTGTTCCCAGCGAGATGGAAGGAAGTATGTCGTGAATGTGTAAGATTTTGTGAGAAGATGGCTGATGAATTAGTTTTAAGTAATTATAATTTTTGTACTTTTTATACCTCTATAAGATACCTAAGTGTTAAATAGTAAATAAGTAACATTTTTTATTGTTTAACTGTATAATGTTTTGGCTTGCACTGTACAATTATACATGTGCTTATAAATAAATAAATATTATTTGTATATGCCGATGATAGTTTCTCTTCGATCCAACAAAACATAACATAACATAAAATCACGCCTTTTATCCCCGAAGGGTACCATGTACCACCCATTGTTCACTATTTCATATTATGAGTCCCATGTAATGGGGGACCTATTGCCATACGAGCCTATTGCCATATACCATTACTGGGATTTTTTTAAACCCAGTAATACTTTGCCCGACCCGGGAATCGAACCCGAGACCCCTGCCAGTCGCTTTTCAAATATACTCAGGTCAACATTCTCATAAATTAATATTTCTATAATAAAAGCACCTTATTGCCTGTTATTTAATTGCTCAAAAATATCCATAGCAGTACTTTTCCTTAAAAAGAGTTTTTAAATAAGACTGTGCTGTGGTTTCATAGCTCTATTTTATATATTCTCTTACTTTTAGGATATTTTCCCAACATTTATTCACCCCTCTTCTGTATCTATTCACCCCTCGAATTCTATTCACCCCGTTTTACTGTTACGCAATTTTAAGAATAAAAACCAATATTAATTTGACAGTTTCTATTTATTTGCCCTCCAAGCGGTTCATGATTCTTTATTGAATCTGCAAATATGCAAGTGTCAAGGCAGTAAAAAAAGAAAACAATCAATTTACTCTCTAAATTATATTTGGCAGTTATTCATTTTTATCTTCTTAATTAATTACATTAAAGAACTTAAATAATTAAGTGTATTACATGTTTATTTACAAGAAAACAACGTCTCATATTGTTATATAAAATACATTAATGTTAATAAATTTACATAATAACAAGCAATTAGCACACTCTAAAGCTGAAAAAGACAATTAGCCAAAGGAAATCACGTTGTCTAAATGGCCTTAACTGCTTTATAAGTTTAAATACTATTTGTGTGTTATCACATCTCATTAACCGCCGCTCACGGTCCACTGAACTATGAGCCTCCTCTCCACAATGAGAGGTTTTTCATCATCTCCATGATTAACTAAATCTACAAATTAACTAAGTACTACGACACCATGTGCTCTTCGTATTATTCCATGTGTGTTTCGAGTTTGTGACTCTGTTAAACGTTGTCCACAATCAACGTTCATTGGCCAATCACAAACCTTAAGCATAGAGTTAAAATATAAGCCTGGTGGACAATCCATAGGAAATAGTTGACCACTCATACATTTATAGAACTGACTACAGTTTTCATGTGGCAATATTTTACCTTCGTTGAAACCTGCACATAAATCACTAAAGTTACTTTCTTCTTCGCTAGTATTACTTTCTCCAGGAGTTGCTCTATTGCCACAGTTAACATTGTGATGCCAGTCACAGTAACCTTTTTTAGGGTTGTAAAAGAGATTCAATTGGCAGAATAAAGCCGTTGGTTTACCTTCATAGCACTTATAAAATTGGTTACAATTTTCGTGAGCAATTAATATGCCATCTGAATTTTCTGAAGCACATATGGCAGGTGCATCTGTAGGATCATTGGGGTCGTTATTTTTAAGAGCATTACTAACAGGACCATTAGCAGGACTATTGTTATCATTTTGAGCGTAAGGAACAATTCTATCACCACAATCAACGAAACTTGACCAATCACAAAATTCCTTTGATGGGTTGTAGTAAAGATTACCTGGACATGTCAACGTTATTGATTGTCCGTCACGACATTTGTAGAACTGATTACAATATTCATGCGCAATCAGAGTATCATCTGATCCTTCAGCGGAACAGACAGCGCGTACACTTACAGGTTCACTTTGATGTTGCCCAAATTCTGCTCGAGGAGTATAACCATCTCCGTCGATATCATTGTCAGATGTAAATCTATCACCACATTCAACGTTTTCTGGCCAGTCACAAATTTTCTTAATTGCATTGAAATACAGATGATCTGGACAGTTTAAATCAATGGGAGTATTGCGTTTACATTTATAATAATGATTACACTTTTCATGAGAAACTACAAGCCCTTCAGAATTTTCATTTGCGCAAACCGCTACTGCATTTTCTTCATCACTAGCAGGAATTTCGTTCTCATCAATCTCATCGGATTTTGAACTGCTGTCATCATTTTCATTGAGCATTCTGTCTGTGCAGTCTACATTTCGTGGCCAGTCACAGTGTTGTATAACAGGGTTATACATTAGATGACTAGGGCAACTCATGGCAATCGCTTTCCCCCCCGTACACTTATAGAATTTGCTACATAATGTATGAACAATCAGCACGCCATCGGGACTATTCGAACAAATTTCAGTTGCAGATGCAGTTATTTTGGGTTTAAATCTTGACGTGACATATTTTTCCTTAATAGGAACAATTCTGTCATTACAATCAACATTTTGAAACAATTCACATTTTTCATTTGTAGGGTTATATAAAAGATCCGGTGCACATTTAAGACCCACTGGTTTACCATACGAGCATTTATAAAATTCATTGCAATTTTCATGAGCTACCAATGCACCATTGGAGTCAGGGCTAGAGCAAATTAATCCTGCATGGTTGGGATTACTAGTGTCCAGTTCTTCGCTAGAGTCCGGAAGCTTGCTTTCGTCTTTCCTAGTCTTTTTGCTTTTGCATTTTAGATTGCCGTGCCAATCACATTGTTCTCGTTTTATATTGAAATGAAGCCCAGATGGACAGTACCTAGCGATTAGTGCTCCGTGGAAACATTGATAGTACTGATTGCAGTTTTCGTGTGGTAAAAGTTTATTAATTCTGGTATCCTTTGGACAGCCATTATAAATACCTCCTAAGTTAGCAAGTGCAATTCCTGTTGAATAGATCAGCACCAGAATTATAATATCTGTAACAATTGGAATGAGTATTTTAATGTTTGTGAATTTGTACATAACATGTCTGATGAAGAATGGATAGCATACTAGTATTTCAATTGTTTACACATTTAATGAGTTTTCATAATAACATAACATCACGCCTTTTATCCCCGAAGGGGTAGGCAGAGGTGCCATTATGCCACTGTACAATGTAACACCCACTTTCAATTTTCACTATTTATGTTATGAGTTCCATGTAATAGAGGGTGAGCCTATTGCCATATACCGGGCACAATTCCAGACTCCGAGCTACTACTGAGAATTTTTAAAAACCTAGTAATATTTTGCCCTACCCGGGAATCGCATCCGAGACCCCTTGCTCGGCAGTGGCACTTGCGATCACTGGGCCAACGAGGCAGTCAGTTTTCATAATAATATCGGGTAATGATCGATATTTAAATGTAAAACAGATGCTAAATTCCGTAGATAGAAAGGGCGTGAAAACTGCTACACAGTGATTTATTTATTTATTTTAGCTATGATCGTCCCAATGCAGGGCAAATGCTCTCTATGTAAAGCTTTTTGCGGTCAATCCTTGTCATACATGTCCAATTCGTCCCGCCATCTCGTATTTTCAAATTCGTAATTAATAAAATGATAATCATGTCAACTTGAAATTAGTTTGTTAAATTTTAGTTCCAGAAGAAAATATTATATTAATTATAATATTAATCAATTTTTTTTTCACAATAAAATGGCTGGAAAACATCCAGTTTAGCTTACGATATAAGTATGTGCATAATGTTATGAAACCAAAATATTGTTTTTACAAATAATAAAAGAAAAATCTTACCTTTCATATTGAATTCCTTTTCGTTCACAATTATCAGACACTGCCTTAGATAGAATACAGTTTATAGTGATATACACTAACGGCACATAATTTATAAGCACTCACTTAATATTTTAGGAGCATTAGTATAAAAAATCGATTTTAATTTTTAATTTTAGGTAATTACTTGAAACCAACAGCCTCGACATGCATCAAGAGGGAAAATAAAGAATCTTGCGATACGAAAATGTTAGAATTTTGGTAGACAATAGTATTATTGTTTTAAAATCACAATAGAATTTTAGCCTTTGTGTGTTTATGATTAAGAGATTCAATGAAACTGACCTGTGAATCCTTTTGTGTTACAACGTCTTCAGAATTTTTAAAATTGACGTATAGCGTGACTATACATTTTGCAATTAACCATTTGCTACTACATTCGACGAGCGTCAACCAAAACTTTTCATTCATGGATAAAACGGAACATATATGAATTAGATAGATGTACTTAGTATCTTCTATAATAAAATCATCTTTTTTTAAAATTAAAATGAACACAGAAAATATAAAAGAATCAGTTATCTCCGGTAGTACTGCACCGGTAATTCACCATTCTGTGTATGTAAAGAGAACTCTTATTGTATATATTATAAAAAGTATTTTACAATGTGACTCATGCAGTATTCCTAATTAATAGGGTTAGGTACTTGTAGCATCACGTACTCGTATAGAAAATCGTTGACTGCACGATTAGT